CACCGCCACACTTGAGCAGGTTGATCTGGTCCGCCTGCGGGAACTTCCTAAAGCCCGGAACGAGTTTCGCAAATTCGATGATAAGTTGCATGACGTCCGCCAGCGTCCGCGCCGTGTCCATCCACACGTCCTCGTGTCTCTGGCTGTCTCTTATACACATCTAGATGTGTATAAGAGACCACTACACGACAAAGGTGGTGCTATCAGCACAAACACAACAAAGGTGGTGCTATCTGCACACAACACGACAAAGGTGGTGCTATCAGCACAACACGACAAAGGTGGTGCTATCTGCACACTACACGACAAAGGTGGTGCTATCAGCACAAACACAACAAAGGTGGTGCTATCTGCACACAACACGACAAAGGTGGTGCTATCTGCACACAACACGACAAAGGTGGTGCTATCTGCACACAACACGACAAAGGTGGTGCTATCTGCACGAACACGACAAAGGTGGTGCTATCTGCACAAACAAGACAAAGGTGGTGCTATCTGCACAAACAAGACAAAGGTAGTGCTATGTCAATATCTTAATTTTCTATCATGAACAGCAAAGAAACATTATTAAACATTTTTAAAGCAAAAAAAAACGACACAAAATTCACCATGTATTGGCTAAAGCGTTTTTCTGCCTTTTAATTTTGACTGAACTTGCGAGTTAAGCAAACTTGAGAAATAAATAGCAATGATACAATAAGATAAATGGCAATTATATAATAATTTTATCTAATTATATAATAGTATAATTATAAAATTATATAACAAAGATAATTAGCAATTATACAATAATGATAACCATGACAAATTGACGGACTGCAGCAACTAAAAAGAGTAATGTCGTAAACATACATAACACAATCAACACAAGCACACATATACACAACACAAGCACACATATTTACCAGCCTGCAGCAGCACAATGGTCGCTATAAGTAATGTTGTAAACATACATAACACAACCAACACAAGCACACATATACACAACATAAGCACACATATTTATCAGCCTGCAGCAGCACAATGGTCGCTATAAGTAATGTTGTAAACATACATAACACAACCAACACAAGCACACATATACACAACACAATCACACATATTTACCAGCCTGCAGCAGCACAATGGCCGCGAAGAGCCCCAGTTCCTTCTCACAGAGCTTGAGCTGGGCCAGCGTGTGGCCGAACTGGTACACATCCTTGACGAGGGCCTCCTCGAGCTTGTCCTTGGTCGCGAAGCTGGAGGCGGGCACGTAGCAGTTGTTGTACAGCACGCAGTCCTTCTGCAGGTCATAGTTGCGGCTCATCCATACCAGCGCGATCTCGAAGCCTCCTGAGGGTAATGTGAGGGTAAAGTGGGGGTAATGTTAGGGTAATGTGAGGGTAAAGTGAGGGTAAAGTGGGGGTAGTGTGGGGTAAAGTGCGGGTAAAATTGGAAGTATAGTGAGGGTAGAGGTGAAGGCGCAGGTCGTTGTTGCGGCTCACTCATGATGACCAGCACAAGGACAAAAACTTCCAAGTTTTTCGGACAAAGTCTCACTCATTGCCCTGAGTGATGTGAGGAGAAAGGACAGCGTCAGGTGTTGATGGCATCACTATAAAGTATAAGTAATGTAAAGTAACTTCCTCATTTCGCGCAGATTTTCATCGTTTAAACTTGTTCCCTTGTTGCGCTAAAACTAATTTTTTTGTACTATGAGCCCTGCGACGTAATTGACTAATGTAGTTATAATTTTACGTTTATTTACTGACAAAGGCCGTATTCCAACCTGTTGGCCAAATATTAGCGAATCATTCTTCCCGTCAGTCATGAATTAAATTTAACTGTGTTCTCTTCACAGTTAAGCAGGATAACCACCTTCGCCACACTTGAGCAGGTTGCCCTGCCACTCACCGCCACACTTGAGCAGGTTGATCTGGTCCGCCTGCGGGAACTTCCTAAAGCCCGGAACGAGTTTCGCAAATTCGATGATAAGTTGCATGACGTCCGCCAGCGTCCGCGCCGTGTCCATCCACACGTCCTCGTGTCTCTGGTGGACAATGATAATAAATAAGAGAAAATGATAATAAATAATGATGATAAAAATAATAATAGATAATGATGACAGTTAATGATAATAGAAAACGATGAGAGTGGAAGCGCACCCATGAGCCACAAATTTAATTTGTAAATAAGTCCTGGAGCCAATCATGACCCAACTAGCTACACTTAGTGCTAGANTATTGATTGAGCGATGTACAACATTTTCCTCTATCATAACTAATGCTAGACAAAATATACATATTTTTTGTTACTGTAGAGAAATTGTAAATAAATAGCTGAATGAGCATGAAAAAATTTAGATTGATATTTCATTTACGAGCGGAGTTACAATGACTATACGTAGTGATAGATTCCCATAGGGATTCAGCCAAGCCTGCCTGAGAGCTCGCGGCTTTCAAGCACCACCTTAAGCAGCGGCTGTGGGCATCCAGCGCTATGGTTTTAACCCTCTACCGCCTGACATGAGTAACCGGAGCAATATTGTCACAAGCCTACTTCACAAAAAGGATACGTTGCTAGTGAGCGCTAAATGACTTGCACTGATGGTTGCCGCCACGTACGACAACTTTAAAAATATTCTCTGTTGCGCACAATCGTCCTCAGGTAGCTACACTCAATAGTTTACGTATAATTTAAGTTGAAAGTTATGTTCCCGGAGAGTGGCATACGGCGGTGGAGGGTTAAGTGTGAAGTGTGGCAAAGCTGACCTCCGGGATGCACCCCGAACAGAGTTGCTAATGAAGCGCTCGTTATACAGCAATTATTTAAATCATTTATCTGCTTAAATCGTAAGTTCAATAAGAATTGAAAAGCAAAGAAAACGCCAAACAAGTTTATCAAATCTTTATTGAGAACGTTAGACCAGCTCTATCATCAGTTCAAAGTCCATAGAATACATTTGCGATGAATAGAGAAAAAAATTAGTTCCTATATACAACCGATAAAAATCCTATTCTCATTTTATCGTACTTGTATTTTGTAGATTTTTTAAAATGATGGAGCTCATCTAACTTTATCAATGCAAATATGGTGAATTTACGCAGAGTATTTTTCGCTTTTGAATTTTCAGTGAACTTGCGATTTAAGCTGACTAATGATATAAGTAATTTGTAGAGTCCTGCCGGTGCAACGGTTAAATACTTTCATTATTTCATCGAAGTAGTTAGCGTTGTCCTGTTGGGCTGGTGTATTGGTTAAGCACTGATGGATCCACAACTTCCTAACAGGTAGAGTACAAGCTGTCGCAATTGGAACCTCGAAATCGGGCGAAACGAAGGTGAAAAGCGGAGTGCCACAAGGCTCAGTGCTTGGACCGATCCTCTTCCTCATCCACATCGCTGACGTCGATTCGAAGCTTACCTACGCATCTACATCATCATTTGCGGACGATACAAGAATGCGATACAAGGAACTGTGATCCTTCACAGATGACCTAGCCTGCGAGAGGCTACAGGATGACTTGTGGTCAATCTAAGATTGGGCCCTAGTGAACAATATGCAATTCAACGGCATTAAGTTCGAAGTAACGAGATACAGAGACCATGACGCTGCATCGCTTCTTGGCATCAGACGGTACAGAAATTTAGGAGAAGCAACTGTTCGCAATCACTGGGAGTTGATGAGTACCGAAGCTACTTTTGATGACCTCATCACTGCAATAGGTACTAAAGGAAGACAACAGATGGAGTGGATCGGGCGGAGATTTAGAACAAGAGAAGCGGAGACATTGATTATAGCTTTCGAAGCCCTCGTGTTCCAATTTCTGGAGTACTGCTGCCAGCTTTGGGTGCCAGACTGCCAGTAAAGGCAGGCACGGTTTAGCAATAGGAGTCAGTTCAACAGACCTAGATGAGCAGGATGAGCGACCTAGGTATGCTACTGCGACAGGTGTAAACGTCTGGGACTGTACAGTGTACTCACTAGAGAGGAGAGAGGTATTTCACACTTAATGGATAGATGATTGGCAGCCTGGCTCCCAACTTTGATAGTGAAACCTTCAAAATATTGAAATATCAAAGTAAAAGGAGGGAGAGACTGTGCAGTGTGTAGGATTCCCATTTAACAACCGAGCCGCGGCCAGAGTTCAGACTCTTCGNAGTGACAAGCAACAGCATCTTGCATCAGCTGGCCCAAATGAGGGCAAATAAACGGAACACGTCCATCGTTACATCCGACGACGACTCGGAGACGGAGGACGACGAAGGCGGCGCATCAGCGTGACCGGGGACTAGGAAGTCCCAGACTCAACATAAAAAACATACGGAATAAGGTCTCACCATTTTAGCGAAGTAATTAATTAGCGTTAATAAAGAAGTAAATGGCTGATGTAATGGCGTAATGTTCTCACCATTTTAGCGAAGTAGTTAGCGTTGTCTTGCAGCGGTGCCCGGCGCCCCAGCGTCTCGACGCTCTCCCGCATGGCGCTGCCGAGGAGACGAGCCAACACGTTGCTTACTTCGTCTGTCTCTGCAATGTCATCACACTCACCATAGCCCGCCATGTCATCACACTCACCATAGCCCGCCATGTCACCACACTCACCATAGCCCGCCATGTCACCACACTCACCATAGCCCGCCATGTCACGACACTCACCATAGCCCGCTATGATGTCACCACACTCACCATAGCCCGCCATGTCATCACACTCACCATAGCCCGCCATGTCACCACACTCACCATAGCCCGCTATGATGTCCTCATACAACATGGCGGAGGTGCGGATGGCTTGCTCCTGGTTGGTCATGTGGATGAAGCCAGGGATGTTGTTGGTGAACTCCCGCTGCACCAACTGCTGCTGGTGCTGCTGGTGGTGGTGCTGGTGGTGCTGGAGGTGCTGGTGGTGCTGGGGGAGGTGGTGGGGGTGGAAGTCATGCAGGTCACCCCCCTGGTACTGGTGGGGGACCAGGGGGGCGTTGGGCTGGGGGGAGCCATCCCCCGATGACAGGAAGGGTAATACCGTCGTGCTGTCCACTGACCCCAGCAGGTCTGGGGGAGGGGGAGTCCATTAGCAGGGTAATGGGGGTAACATTACTGAGGGACAGGCGTTCTATTAAGAGGGTAATGGGTATGCCATTACTGACAGGCGTAGAATATATCCACGGCTCCACAGCGTAACACGAGAGTCGTTGCAATGTAAGATAAATGGTCATCCAATCGTTTGGGTGGCCCAGTGATTACAGTTCAGGGGCCATATTTTCAAAATTCGCTAAGTGAACGTAAGTATTTACGCTCTATTTTCTTTTCTATGATTGGTGGATTTTGCTTGAAAGGCCGTCAATGATTGGCCGATGAACTTACGATCTCTTAACTTTTTTTTTAAAGTATAGGCCCTGAGTAGCAGGATCGGAGCAGTGAGTTGCGAGTTCGAGTCCACAACAAGCTACGGATGTTCTGCAATGTTAAGAATCGGCGACAGGCTTACGGCCTAATGAACGCTGAAACCGCTATAATATTATTATTATATAACTTGTTACGGCCGGTCGTTAGTCGGTACCCAGTTAGAGAGCAGAAGTCGGGACGATTGCAGCGGCAGTGCAGGTTTGAAGCAGGATTTAAACCACCATCGCCGGTAGCGGCCGTTTTGTAGCATTGATTTAATTCGTTATACGTACGTGCAGGCTTCAAAAATGGACATGCATGCATGCTCTTTACCTGCCTCCTCACTGCTCCTTGCCTGCTCTGAGCAAAACTGTTTCAAATTTTAACGGGGTAGATTTTCCATTCGACAAATTTAGCAACGATGATCGTTACAGTGAAGTTCTTAGGAAATAAAGTTCGTGATGAAACAGATTATATATACGATACATATTTCAAATGCAGTAATCACACAATAAAAAAGAAATCTCCTGTCTATCTCCTGTATTATGTTTGCAACTGAGCACACAATGTTGTCTGCGGTGGGCCACTAGTATCGTGTTCGGATGTACGCTTCCCTTAAAATATTAATTACAGGTTTGTACTAAATCTAAAGAAGAATAGAATCATCAACATGATAAAACGTTTTATTTATCCAATAATAATTTGTTCACATATGTGAAGAGTGAAACAATGCCAATTCAATCGCCAGTTTTATTTGTAAGCCGACGACCTAAGATTTTTCCAATACGTTAACGTAGGCTGTTCGTGCAAAATTATTTTCTTTGTTAGTGAACGATTCTGAGCTATACTATATATTCAAGGCTTCTTTGCTGAAGGCTGGTTGGCCTAATTCAAATGCTATGTTTGCACCTGATTTGATTGCAGCCGATATTGTGACAGAGCAGAATTGTTGGAAGCTTTGTTATTGTAGGAAGGGATCACATAGTTTCTTTGATGCTGGGCTGTGTTGGTCTCCGACAGGCAACGTTTACAGCCACCGTCTAAGCACGATGAAGTGCTTATTGCTCAAGTTGGGCATTGCCATACTGTATCTGGCATAACCAAGTCCGAACTAACCTATTCTCGCCTTTGCAACATTTCTCCACCCAAAAATACCAGAACGGATCTAACCTAACCTCATTGGCTGCGGGAAGTTAAAGAGGCGGAGCAAGTGAGCTGGTAGAGACAGTCATTGGCTGCAATTTGGTGGGGAGGCGGGGCAGCGTGAATAGGTTAAGCCAGAAGAGGTTAGGCCAGAAGATGTTAGGCCAGAAGAGGTTAGGCCAGAAGATGTTAGGCCAGAAGATGTTAGGCCAGAAGATGTTAGGCCATAAGAGGTTAGGCCAGAAGAGGTTAGGCCAGAAGAGGTTAATCCAGAAGATGTTAGGCCAGAAGAGGTTAGGCCAGAAGAGGTTAATCCAGAAGATGTTAGGCCGGAAAAGGTTAGGCCAGAAGATGTTAGGCCGGAAGAGGTTAGGCCAGAAGAGGTTAGGCCGGAAGAGGTTAGGCCAGAAGAGGTTAGGCCAGAAAAGGTTAGGCCAGAAGAGGTTAGGCGAGAATAAGTTAGGCCAGAAGAGGTTAGGCCGGAGCAGATGAGGCCGGATGCAGAACGGCTCGTTATAATCGGCCATGCTTAGGTATAGCTGAACACCTATGACGTTATCATCTTCAAGCGCTGTGTCTCTAGTACGGCTTGTAGCATCCCAGCGCAGTCTGCAGTGTTAGCTTTACGGCTGCGTGTAGTTAGTGCGCGCTGAGCCTGAGACTTGGCTCCGCGGCTTATTTATATTAATTACATTATATAAATTATATATAAATATATGCTGGCCCATGGCTGCGCTCGCATGTTCACTCGTCCTCATTATTTTAATATCATGTATTTTATTTATATTTCAATTTAATATATTTTACTTATATTTTGATAACATATATTTTAGTTATATTTTAGTGGCAAATATTTTATCCAAATTTTAATGACATATATTTCATTTATATTTTAATGGCATATATATTATTTGATGTACATCCCCCCCTCTCACCTGACGAGGCACCATCGTCCCCCTCGTCCCCCGTGACGTGTGGGGACTGCAGGCCCCCCACGTCCAGCCCGTCCACCTCCTGCTTGATGAGCACCTCCATGTCGTGGCTCAGGCTCCCCCCCTGCAAAGGCACGTCCGGGGGGGAGCAGCTGCCCCCCACCAGGGGGGGACTTCTCAATCCCCCCACTGCCTTGCCTGAGGGCGAGAGGGGGAGGGGGGTAAGGGATGTCAGGTAACAGCAACAACAAAAATATTTACAATAATAATAATAATAAGGTTAATAATAATAATAATGGCAATAATAATAATAAAAATAATAGTATTAATAACAGTAATAATAATAATAATATCATTAATAACAATAATAATAATAATATTAATAATAATGATAATAATGATGATAATGATGATAATAACAATAACAATAATAATAATAAGAGTAACCCACGGTATTGCCAGGCCGCGGGCACGGCCTCGGACGTCTTCCACTGACGGTCCCCCCGGCAGGGGGAGAAGGGGGACGAGGAGGGGGGGGATGAGTCCCCCCCAGGGTCCAGAGGGGGGCCATCCATGCACGACCTGGGGAAGAGGGGGATGAGAGTGTTAGTGGGGGGGGCACCTGTTGTGGTGGTCGTTGTTGTTGTGGTTCCCCGGTCTCATTTTCACAAGAGACCCCCTCGGTCAGGTACGACACTACCGATAGGGGGTCGCTCCAGCTATGGGCCTATGCTTTAGGCCCCACGGGGCCTATACTTTAGGCCTCACGACAGGGGGATCGCCCCAGGGACTATACTTTCAAGTTAAGAGATCGTAAGTTCATCAGCCAATCATTGACGGCCTTTCAAGCCAAATCCACCAATCATAGACAAGAAAATAGAGTGATGTTGTGGGGGTCGTAAGCACCTGTTGTGGGGGTCGTAAGCACCTGTTGTGGGGGTCGTAAGCACCTGTTGTGAGGGTCGTAAGCCCCTGTTGTGGGGGTCGTAAGCACCTGTTATGATGGTCGTAAGTCGTAGAATCAGCTGACGACACGTCGAGGCCGGCGCTGCTCGCACCTCCTGGTCGTGGGCTGAAGTTGTAATGTGAGTTGAAACTCAACTCGCTCGCCCCGAACCCGTACCTGCGAGGTGAATTATCGTAAACTTCAACAATATAACTTGTATATTTCAACACAATACAACTTGTAGACTTCAACGCAATACAACTTGTACACTTCAACACAGTGAACTACAACTCGAACATTTCAACACAATACGTTTCAACATACAGGCTTCCACATCATGAGCACACATCACGGTACCCATGCATCTTAGCACATAATATCGCTCATCACAAGCGTAACACTCAGTACTGCACAGCACACAGCATACCACACAGCACACACAGCACAGCACACAGTGTGTATAGACCACACAACACAGCACACAGCACATTACACAGCACAGCACACAGCACATCGCACACGACAGCACACAACACCCACTGTGCAGAGAAGAGATCGTGCCCCGGACTAGCGGGCTCGTAGACCGAAGAGTCGGGCGAGGTACAAGGATACTAAGGCCTGGGCACGGTGAGATACGCGGGGTGCGGGGCCTGGGCACGGTGAGATACGCGGGTGCCACAGTAACCATGTTGTGGGCGACATGGACGCCACAGTAACCATGTTGTGGGCGACATGGACGCCACAGTAACCATGTTGTGGGCTACCAGCGGCGAGAAGCAAGCAACAGCATCGTGCATCAGGTGGCCCAAATGAGGGCGGATGAACGATAATCAGAGGCGGCGATCCATCGTGTCCTGGGACTGCTATGTCCCAAACAAATACTAAGGATACTAAGGATACAGCACAACACAACACAGTAGAACACAGCACAACACAGCACAGCACACAACACACAACACCCACTGTGCAGAGAAGAGATCGTGCCCCGGACTGGCGGGCTCGTAGACCGAAGAGTCCGGCGAGATACAGCACAACACAACACAGTAGAGCACAACACAGCACAGCACACAGCACACAACACACAGCACACAGCACCCACTGTGCAGAGAAGAGATCGTGCCCCGGACTGGCGGGCTCGTAGACCGAAGAGTCCGGCGAGGTACAACACAACACAGTACACAGCACACAGCACACAGCACCCACTGTGCAGAGAAGAGATCGTGCCCCGGACTGGCGGGCTCGTAGACCGAAGAGTCGGGCGAGGTCTCGGCGGCGGAGGCGGCGGAGGCGGCGCGCTGCTGGCTCTTGNTAAATTATTGAAAATTATTGAATAAATGGTATTAAATTTAATTAAAACATGTTAATTAACATGTCAAGTTCCAATTAAAATTACTTAATTAATAAAAAATTACTTAATAAAAAATTAATTAAATAATACAAAACTAAGTACTTTTTTATTAATTAATAAATATAACAATGTGGTGAAAATAATTGTTATGTTTGACGAAATTATTATCAATTTGTTTTATTTAGGTAGGATTAGCATTAATAATGAATTGAATCGCATCGACAAAATGCTAATTAATTTATTTAATGTTGTTAAGAATTACATTGAATGGGTTTGGTGGAGAGACTACTTATTTAAATAATGTATTATTTGTTGGTATCTTTTTTAATTTACATAATTTATCTAATAATTTATTGAATATTTTATTTACAATTTTTTTATAATTTTTGTCATAATATATTTAATTTTTGATTAATTTATTTTATAATTTATTGAATATTTTTTATAATTTTTCAATAATATTTTTAATAATTTATTAAATAGTTTATTTAATAATTGATTGAATAAAAAAAAGGGCGACGGGGACCGTGGAGCACGAGAGTCGGCAGCGCCCCCCTCGCCACATCGCCCCTGAGGGCGCCGTGTCGCCCTACGACCCGCACACGGCACACGGCAGCACCACACTCAAGGTGGGTCACGGCACACGGCAGCACCACACTCAAGGTGGGTCACGGCACACACGGCAGCACTACACTCAAGGTGGGTCACGGCACACACGGCAGCACCACACTCAAGGTGGGTCACGGCAAACTTTCCTAATACGAACGCCTATAATATATTTATTTATATAATATATATATTATTAAATATATGTTGATATATTTGTTATATAATGTATAATAAATATATATTATATAATGTATTTTATGTATATTAATAGTATAGTGTATTTGTAATAGGTAATATATAATATTTATTTGTTATTATAGTATATTTAATAGTGAATTAATATTGCATAAAATATTTATATGGATAAAATAAAGAAATTTATACGTGTGAGTGTAGGACTAATTCCGACATAATTTCTGTCGATCGCCTGTCTCAAAATATAATTGAACAATTATTTAATTGAACAATATAATTATTTAACTAATTTATTAATTAGTTAAATTATTATAATGTTGAATTCATTTTCTGCTACAGACGGTAGAGAAGAGGGTCTGAAAATATAATCATTTAATTAATTGATGAATTATTTGATAAAATAATTAATTAATTGTCAGCTGCAAACTGTGGAAGAGTGGGTCTAAAAACATGATCATTTAATTAGTTGATTAAATAAATAATGTATTGTTTGCTGTAGACGGTAGAGAAGTGGGTCTGAAAACATGATCATTTAATTAGTTAATTAAATAATGAATTGTTTGTTGTAGACGGTAGAGAAGTGGGATTCAGTACAATCTGTTAAAACAATCTCCCGGGGCCGGAATATCAAAACTTCGTATTTTTTTGTACTTACGACAAAAAAAGTACGTGTTACGTAAGTATACCCTAATTTTTGCATTATCAAAACTTTCGTACGCAAGACTTAGCTAAAAGCGTATTATCAAAACCATCTGGCCAACTGATCAATTAGAGGCTTTATTTGCTTTCCTATAGCTACAGTGAGCTCCTCTAGAGCAGTGCGCAGTGCGCTTGGACGAGAGCAGGATGTGTGGTGTCAGCGGCATTTGCGGTGCTTGACTAGAGTGTATTTAAATAAATGAGTGAGACGTTATCCAAATAGCAATGCACTTGTTGTTGTAATCATTAATTAAAATTTCTTGCAATAAGGGCAAATAAATGCATTATTCTCATTCAAAATTAGAAGAATTTTTTAGAAGGTTACAAAGAATTTAGAAAATTTCGTGAGTTGGAGTTGCGACTGTCATAAAAAGAAGTAAATTTGTTTACAAAAAAACTAGAAAAATTGTTGGCTTGTCAACCTAAATATAATTTTGAATCAAAAAGGCATTAAGACATTGTTCAAGAGAATGATCATAGAACTCTTAAATATGAAAAATATCAACATTTGCTTGTAAATTATAGCGCAAAAAGCAATTGACATTTTTATCCCAAAAGCACCGTTTAGCACGATCACATATTATATGTCGGATTATTGACAAAATTCTATCACAATTCATCGTTTTGCTACTTGCTAGTAAATCAATAGTTTCCTATTGCTACAGCAGACACACTAAACTTGTGCGGAACTCCACTTACGACATCTCCGAGCAGGCGTACAGTTACGTTACGTAGCTTCCCGCGCAAATGTTTTGATAACACCACCGCTAGAGTTACGTCATCATATCAGCACTTACGCCACTCTTAAGTCGATTTTGCGTACATACGAAGTTTTGATAATACGGCCCCCGGTAACTCAGATAATAAGGCCTTTAAATACAAATTAAATATTAAGCAGGTAAGGATTAAAACTTTTTCTTTTAATTTCTAATTAGGGTTAAACCCTTTGTTTATTGCCAATATGTTCTTTCTGTACCGCTGCCACGTTTCAGGAGGTCTAAAGCCCTTGTTCCCCTATTGCAACCCCAGTTTTAGTGGGAGCAAAGCTACCACCTTCACTGTGCTTTATCCCCCTAATCCCCTTCGTCCATCTCCAGGTTGAATGGGAGCACAGCTACGAGGAGCTGTGTGAGCCCCCTTTCCCCACCCCGCGGGGCGTGCGTATCAACGTACGGCAAGAAAAGCGTAAAGTTTTGGGCGTGTTCGGGGGCGGCAGCAACAGCAAGGAAGTCAACCTTGATAAGAACCTCCCGCACGCTAAGGTAATTTAGGATAATTTTGAGGAATTTACCGCCTTTTGAGTACTTTATTGTTGAAAACCCTCATTATCCTAACTTAAATAAGAACCTCTCGTACGCCAAGTAATTTCGGATATTTTTGAGAAACTTACGACCGTTTTGAGTAAGTTATGGTCTTTTTGAGTAAGTTATGGTCTTTTTGAGTAAGTTATGGTCTTTTTGAGTAATTTACGGCCTTTTTGAGTAATTTACGGCCTTTTTGAGTAATTTACGGCCTTTCTGAGTAAGTTACGGTCTTTTTAAGTAATTTAGGATCTTTTTGAGTAATGTATGGCCTTTTTAGTAATTTTCGGTCTTTTTGAGTAATTTACGGCCATTTTTTTAGTAATTTACGGTCTCTTTTTGAGAAGATACCGCCTTTTTGAGTAATTTATTGTTGAAAACCTTTATTATCCTAACTTAAATAAGAACTTCTCGCACGCCAAGGTATCGTGATGAATTATTTAATGTTTTTTTGAATAATTTCACATATGTTTGAATAATTTACGGTGTTTTTGAAATTTATCATAGTTTTCTTTGGTCCTTATTTCGCACCGTGACTAACTGTTCAGTGTATTTTTAAGTTCACACAATTTGTCTGTATTATGTGTGGCAAATGGTGTATATATAGTGAATGGTGTTATACACTTCAAGTTTTCGCTTAATTCTAGTAGATAAATATACCATGAATAAGCGCATGTGGTGAATGTTGCTTATGTTTTTACAAGTAGAGGAAGGCTTAATTATATTAATAACCAACATACACGTGTATTGTTCTCGCTACACCGCTCTACTTTCGTAAGATTGAGTTTAATTCTTGTTTTTACTACTTCAACTTACACTTATTTTTACTAATATGCTTACTACTAATTGTCAGCACTGTTGATATATTAATCTGGTAATATATTTTTTTCTGTTCCCGCGGCTTTCCAAATGCATGTGTCTAAGTCTGCCTATAGTGCACGACACAAATTTAAAATAACATAGAAAACGGACAAAATATAAAAATATTATTTTCTCTGCCATTTAAAAATATTTAAGTAGTGAAAAAAGATCGATTGAAGATTAATTAGAGAAAAAATAGTAATTTATATCATATTGTCATATCATATTTATATCATATTCAGTTTTTGTCCCAACATTTCAGGCCTGTTGCTTGGCTATGCTTTTCATACGCCTGCTTTAGAGCCCCATGCACCCAGAAAAATGAGAGAGTCATTGTCAAGGTAGCGATGCACTTTTTGCTTCTGTGGGTCCGGGAAAAAGGCTCATCAGTGCTACGTGGTTACTATATATAAATGTGTCACTATGTAGACAATATGAACCTTCCATTTTCTGAGTGTGCCTTGCATTACCCACCTCGGTATTACCTTCACATTACCCTTCACTCGGCATTATCCTCACATACATTACTCTCCTATCCACTTACCCTCACATTACCCACCCCTTCTGTTTCACCATCGTTATTACCCTCACATTACCCACCCCTTCTGTTTACCATCGTTATTACCCTCACATTACCCACCCCTTCTGTTTACCATCGTTATTACCCTCACATTACCCACCCCTTCTGTTTACCATCGTTATTACCTTCACATTACCCACCCCTCCTCTTTTGCCATTGGTATTAGCGTCGTTATTACCTTCACATTACCATGTCGCGCCCAGCCCGCCCCACCCTCGCACGGCCCCCTCCCCCCCGCGGGGGGCAGACCAGGAGGCAACCTCTTTGCGGGACTCACCAACTTCACCAGAAACATCAGCAGAATTGCCACCGGCAACCCCATTACAACCCCAGACCTGCAACCCCGTCATGCGTGTGTAACCCCAACCCCTCCTGCAACCCCTGCATCCCTGACAGCTGTAGTAGCAGCGTCAGCTGTAGCAGCTGCTGCACCTGAGGCCGTGGCATGAGCGAGCCATCATCAGCTGTAGCAGCTGCTGCATGTACACCTGTAAAAGCAGATGCACGTGTTGAAGTCTACGTACCTGTTGATTTTGACCACGTCAGAGCGCAGGTACAGCGCTTGCACGGGTTCATCGGTGTTGTTGTTTTGTACGCTCTGTAAATTTGCTTGTAATTTGTTTGTAATCCTTTATTTATATCCGGTAATATATTTAATGGTAATATATTGTAATTTGTTGGTAATCCTTTATCTTTTGTTCGTGATTTGTTTGTAATCTTTTATTGTTATCTGGTAATATATTGTCATTTGTTGCAATTTTTTGGTAATCCTTACATTTTTGTTCGTGATTTGTTTTTAATCCTTTTTTATAGTTTGTGATCCTTTTTTATAATTTGTTATCTATTGTATTTTTATTATTTGTTTGTTATATTTTGTGTGCTAACTTTCGTTACTAGGCCTTAAGGCGCGATTAGCATTGACGACGGGTAATGTTTTTTTTATACAAATAGTTAATTGAGTGTCTTTCCATTTCAGTTTTGTGTCCGCCTTAACTCATATTTTTCATCATTATTTGTACACAATGTTCTTTTTTTCATGAAATACTTCGTTCAAGCACCGTTTTCGTTCCTGTTTCGATGGTAATGTTGTCAGTTTTGATGATGGGCAATGTTAGCATGTCGCAGATTCTGAACCTCTCGGCAACCTTACCGATTTAGACCAGAATTTTCACAACCCGTTGCGGGTTTCGAACCCCCAACTCCCGCAGTTACAATCTTGGTGATCTCAACTACAAGGCCACCCGAGCTTCTCGTGTTGTGCACATGTTTTGTTGTCTAGCGAGTTGCTTTGTTATTTATACTTGAATATAAACTTCTGAGTTTACAAAGTAACTTGACAGGCGGCGATCCATCGTGGCCTGGGACTGCTACGTTCGAAACATATGCTAAGGATATACGAGGCAATTGTTTCCAAGTTGACTCATTTCAAATTCATTTCCCCAATTATTAGTGAAGAGAAAGAACGAGAGGAAAATTCTCCATTCTCGCAGTAGAATGAATGTGTCATATTGTCCAAATAGCGACACATATTCTGATATGTATTCTGATATGTACTTCACTGATACGCCCTTTAGCTCTGAACCGAACTAGGTCAGGATGACTCACCCTAGCGTAATAACTTCATTGATATCTACACAAATTATCACTAATTTATCCGAGTGAATTGTTTCTAAAATCTCCCTCCTAGGTCACTGTATAAGCTTTGAATTTTTAAATAAATCTCTCCAAATATATGAATCTTACTGCAAATGGGCCGCCCTGCCTCGACACTCAGAGAAATGTGTCTGACCATGCCCAAAAAGTGACGCAATCTTTGCACTTTTTTTATTCATCGTGATCCATTTTGGCCCGGCTAATGGGCGTATCAGCGCTACGTGGAAAAAGTATGTCAGTATTTGGACAATATGATACACTCGTTTTTATGAGAGGGTGATGCAACACGCCGCATAGTAAAAGATGTCATGTGTAGGCCACTCTATCTTCCAATTTCTCACTCACGCTTTTGTGTGGGTAAAATGTACAACTATGGCGATTTGAATATGTGGTGACTTACTGGATATTTATTACTTTTCCGGTACTACTTACCGAATCTTTATTTTTTTTTGTTCAATACCATATACTGAAATAAACACCTGTGTTTGTTTAATTTCTTAGTCTTTCATTCGATTTCTTTTCTTATTAATATAATGAATTATAATGTTTGTCTTTTTTCTTATCATTAATTAATTAGTCTCTCTCATATGCATTTCTTTTCTTATTTATGTCGCGGTATCGGTGTTGGGTCCATCGTGTGTGATCCTGTATTATTGTGTGTGCAAATTTGTGTTTTTGTATAGGACTGTGTCAAATTTACTACCGCAAAATTCTGCATTTTGTTCCATGACACAATCATCTCGTGATCAAGCATTCTATGTTGATATGTTATTACAGTAGCACTTGAAACTTCTTATATTAACCTCTTAAAGTACTCTCATTATTACTTAAATCTTATTACATTATTCCATATATCTTGAGCCATATTATATACCTTATAATATTTTTATATAAACCTGACGAAGCTGTACTCGTTGCAGTGGTTTCTAAATGTTATTACATTATTTCATATATCTTGAGACATTATATATACCTTCTTATATATAAATATACCTGACGAAGCTGTACTTATTACATTATTTCATTTATCTTGAGACATATTGAATACCTTCATATATTTATATACTCCTGACGAAGCTGTACTCGTTGCAGTGGTTCCTACAGCAGACCAAGGAGGCCTACCTCGCGGTCAAGCCCCTACAGGAGCTACAGACGCAGTGACTAGCAGCGGGTGCGGTGATGGATGTCCTCTTGGGAGGGGGCGGTCGCCTGTTGGGGGGGCCTCTGATCTCGGGGGACGACATCTACTCTGCAGCAGTGGAAGCTCTGCGTCCTGCAGTGGCGTCCTCTGCTCTGCAGATGTGGCAGGAGATTTTCGTCGCGTTGTGGTAAAGTTTCAAGAAAAAATGGCAGCAGGCATTGGAATTTTACGGCGATGGCTTATAAACGGCGATACCGTAAATAAAACGGCGATAGCGTAAATAAAACGGCGATAGCGTAAATAAAACGGCGATAGCGTAAATAAAACGGCGAGACCGTAAATAAAACGGCGTTTCCGTAAATAAAACGGCGATACCGTAAATAAAACGGCGATACCGTAAATAAAAGAGAAATACCCTTGAAAAAACGGAGAAACCGTTAAAAAGCACTTGAAGTTGGCATGTAATTTTGTTAGAGAAATTTTCGCGACGTCTGGCGTGGATAAGCATCGAGCTAATTAATCAAAAACAAGTTATCAAACATCAGCGAAATTATAATTTTTAAGACTTAAGCTTTTGAAATTTAAATGAAAAGGCACAATAAAATTCATTTATGGAACAGAAGAGGAAAAGAGAATCGGTATTGTTGGAAAAAAAATTTATCATAAATGATATTATTAGATCTTGGATGAGTATAGCATTGCTTAAGCTTTGGATCAGAACACCGGCGCTGAACTCTATGACATACCGTAATTATATGTATATTATATTGTTGTGCATGACAGTCCTGCCAAATATTATAAATATTATTTCCAGTCATATATATGCGTATTTTTCTTCTCACTTATTCATGTATTATATAATGCCGTCATTATTGCACTTCTACACACGAATCGTATACTGACAAATCTTTTCCTTCTCGCTGTTACTTCAAAATTTCGTTTTAATTCATAATTATTCGAGCGTCGGTGTCTTAGATTGATAATCGTCGTTTTGAAACTCACGAAATTTTTGTCTAGTTTATCTGCACATCAAAAACATAACTAAAATCAACCGTTGAACTTTCGATGATTTCAATCAAGGTCTTTCTCCCTTATATGCCGAGGCTGCGTTATTTTGAGGATCTCTTATACCATTAATTATAAGCCTTATAAACTTATACTAAAATGATATAGCTCTTCAAACTATATACCTATACTCTCGATCTGCTTATATGCTATCTTTTAATTACATTATTGCTATTCACTGTAGACAGCTCGAATTTTTGTGACAAAACTTCGTTTATAATTCCGCTTGTATGAAATCATTTAAATAAATATGCCATTCTCGTCTTGTTAATAAGTACAATTTCCTATAATCATGTGCCGATTTGATCTCGCTTGCTTCCAGATTGATCTTTCTAAGAACTACCGACCCATGCCAGACCATTCCATGTCGTCGTATTTTCCAGCTATTATAAAATATTTGATTTATTAATATGGATTGAGTATAAACTGCCGCGACATAAGAAACTTTACATCGACTCCTGTTATCACCGCACCCATGTATATTTGGCTTTATAGCTTCGGCTACTAGTGCAGCTGTGCCTCTATGTAATTATCTACTTAGAAGTAATATAATCTAACTAATATTACCTTGATAATCTTCAACATTGTTGTATATAAGGTAGGAAAGTTTTTTTTTAAGTGGCAAGGTCGGAGGAGATGGGGGGCATTTTGCGTACCCCAATTGATGGGAGGTGAAAAAATTGTTGGCATTTGTATCGTTTAATGCTTTCGTGCACGTAGTTCAGGCAATTAAACCTTTCATGTATTCAATCATAATATACATTTACTTTTATGAATTTTCATATGTTTTGCATATATAAAGTGACTATTGTAGTTGAAAAATCTCTTAAATATGGTCGCTAAGTTAGAAAAAGTATAGAATATAAATTTGAACGATCTAATGATAAGAGTAACTATCTAGCCTCAATTTAATTAAGTTCCTTTGATTGATTGAATATATATTGTTACTTCCATCTTTTAAAAAACGCTGAAAGAGCGTCAGTTTCACTGTGCGAGTCAAAACTTTAATTTAAATGCTAATATTGTAATTCTTGGGCATGTTAAGAAATGATATAATGTATGGAACGATGGTCAAATGATTGACAATTATGATGGTCACATGATTGATGATTATAATGGTCACATGATTGATGATTACGATGGTCGAATGATTGATGATTATGATGGTCAAATGATTAATGATCGGCCGAGGTATGATAGCGTTGCGTCAAACACTAACTGGAGGCCGTGGTGGGTTTTTATGGAGATTGCAGCTGACCATATATGTTAACTTACCCGCTAAAGAGATAATGCAAAGGGAATAGAAAAAATTGAAGAGATCACTAAATTTTTGTCGATAAGTTTTCTGTTAGCGTGTCACGCATCAACGTATTATGGCACGTATATCCTTGATGGAGAAGTCATTCTGTTCCTCATTGGTTTGTTGTAACATCAAATTTCTGTCGCACTCATTGGTAATGTTTTAATTGAGATCTGATATTCATGTTAACAAAAATTGTATTCATCTTTCATGATTGATATGCATTTTCATTTACATTTCTCCTTATATATTAGCGCAATATTTTGTGCATTCAGCTAAAAATATGAGGGCACTTATTGCATATTAAAAAATTCTATATTGCTATCGATGTTCATTACATCAAGATTCTCAGAACTGCATTCTCTTATCGTTGATCTGTTACCATTTATCGCTATCATTACTTTGACTGCTTTAAATCTTTGTATCAAAAACGTTAAGGTTATCAAATGTTCACTAAATATGTCAGCTAAGACTCCTCAAAAATTCTCACTCTTTCGTTCGATACACTTTCTATTTCCAGGTAAAAAAATTTTCCTAAGCTGTAAATATTTTTAGTTGTGGTTTCTTCTTATAATATAGCAATGTTTGTTTTTTTTTTGCTTGATTATCATTGATTATTTACGCTTTTGTAATAGATTTTCAGGTGACGCCGCAGTGGTGGTCTTCCAGTCATGCTTATTGAGCTTAATTAAAATGCTAGCCTAAGATATTAAGATATTGATGTTACACACTATAGTCATTGAGAGTGGTTACCTTTGTAAAGATTACTAGAAAATATTAGTGTTGCGTTGCTTCATCCACATTCTTTTTTATCGGATTTCCATTTATAGAATTGCATTATCGTGGCCAAGACAGTCGTACGTATTAGAAATTCGGAAGCCGTATTAACTGTCTCTGCTACTAGGATGCTTGTAGCGTTACTATTATTACGAATATTAGTGCACGAATGAACCAATTATAAATCAAGAAACACAACCCTGCAGAACACTACACTCGGAGAAATAAGTGAGACATTGTCCAAATAGTGGCGTGACTTTTGCTCATTTTTGGGCCATCTTAACCTGTTTTGGTCCGACAAAAGAGCGTATCAGTGCTACGTGCATCAAGTGTGTCACTGTTTGGACAATTTGACCCATTCGTTTTTCTGCATGTGCGGAGTTGCGAGTCTACTTAACTGTTCGTTGTTGTCGGTTGCTTAAGGCCCGGTCCACACCATACTGCCGGACACGTGCCAGTCTTAAAACCCGGTCCACACCATTTTGCCGGGCTCATGGCAGTCTCAAGGTCCGGTTCACACCAAACTGTCGGGCACGGTCCACGCCATACTGCCGGGCACATGTCAGTCATGGTCCAGTCCAATATACTTTAATGCATTTCCGTGCAAGCCTTCACATCATGAGCATGGTATGTGCCTTGCACGGCTGGTGTTAATGCTTGCATAGAAATGCATTAAAGAATATTGGACCGTGACTGGCATATGCCTGACACGTGTCCGGTAGTGTGGTGTGGGCCGGGTTTGAGTATTCCTGTTATCGTGTTTTGCACTCAAAATAACCTGCATCTGTGCTTTGCACTGTGATTGTTTTCATCCATATATTGCTTTAGCGAAATGAATATAGATTAGTAATAGTAGATTAGTTTTACCTATTTAGTGTGCCTAAGTCGAGGGCGTTTCGTGCGTATGTTGAAACGCCATTCACCGCATTGCTTAACTATTCATTACCATTTTTGCTGTATTATGAATTAATTTTCAATGTTACGAGGATATCATGATAGTATTTTCATTATCATGTATCATTTTCCATGGAATTTCTTCACTTGTTATTTGCCTGCGAAGTTTGGGCCAGCTTTCGCTATTACTGAAACGATGCTAATCTCACCGACTTAGCAAACGTCTAAACCTTGTCTTATTATTTTTGAAACTGTTTGAAGGTTTTCGAATACATAGATACTAATAAAGTTTATCTGTTTATTATTCGTAGCTAATTTTTCCCCCCACATTTTCACGTCACCGTTCGAAAAATCTCAACGTATTTGAGTTGGTGTGGTGAAATGCTATCATTCAACAATGAATGAGTATCATTCGTTAGTGTAATTCAGCATATTCTTATCAGTATTTAAATAGCAATAAATCTAGGGAGACAAAGCAGTCGTGTGGATATATTTTATTTTTCAAGTTTACCGATTCCATGAATTAAAAATTTACGAAATTTTCCGAATATTCAGCACAACATTGGCATGATGTTATTTCCAAGCTATGGTTGCAAAGTATTTGTCACAGATGAAAATATAACCTCGTGTATTATAGTTTTCTATTTAATCATTGCTGAGTTTATATATTGCACGAAGTATGAATTAATACACTGATGAAACCCTTTAGCCTCATCATTGAGTGTTAAACTATTTTGCTTGGGATGATTGCTGTTGATAAATACATTTATAAGTGTTGGACTTAGTTTTATTTACAAACTTAGTCAAATTATCTGGCCGTAGTTTTGTTTCTTTCTATTCATTTTTTGGTTATGTAAAGGAAGCGAATGAGCTGCCAGGTCTAACCTTTACCATGGGGCAGTGTGACCCAGTGGTTACAGTTCAGAGTACCAAGATTGGAGCAGAGAGGTGCGGGTTCGATCCCAGCTACCTGCGACAGTTTCTGGTCAAATCGGCGAGGAGGCCGGGCGGTTAAGCACAGCAGCAAAATTGGAGCAGTGAGTTGCGTGCTCGAGGCCTCAACAAGCTGTGAATGTTCTGTGTTGTAAGAGTCGGCGAATGGCATTCGGCCTAATATACGAAAAGTAAGTGAAAAAGTAATAATAAATAACTGCTACAAAGGCAGTCTTAAGACGATATAAAGTACATGCACGCATTGCCGTTGAAACTCGGTGGGTTCCGTTCAAATCGCTAAAAAAGAATAAATACTTGAAATAACCATTTAGATAGCTAACTCTTCGGCTGCACGCCTATGGGTACAAAGAGGTTGCAAAGTTATACCTTATTTTCGCCATATATAACTTAATAATAATATAAGACATTTCCCTTTTTCGGTCATGAATTTTTTCATGAATTACTATGTAATGATTTATTTCCTTGTTCACGTAGCCCCTCAGGGGGGACTTCTGACGGGTGTCTGTGCTCGTCAGAAGTCCTATGGGATTTCGCGCTCCTAGGGGGATTGTTCCTGAGCGCCCCACCGCTGAGCTCGCGGTGTCTGACTGTAGGTCTCAGTTGTGGGGTTAAGTTATTATGTAGGCAGGATTCCTTACATTTCCCTTCTACATTTCCCTTCTCTGTCTCTCTCGTGCGGGCGGCCGACGTCCCGTGTAAGCGGCCTCTTGTTCGAGTGTCTTCGTTTCTGTTGCTTTTTACCTGTCCCTCCTTGTCACTTCGTCTCTTTTGAGATGCTAACGCTGCTTCCTTCGAGCCAGCTTCAGCGGGCTGGACATCTGAGACCTTCCGCCCCTTGTGGGTGATGAATAATTGAGACCTTCCACCTTTATGGTGATGTTCATCTTGACTTTCGGTGCGAGATAGCTTAATAGCTGAAGCGCTAGTAAACATTTGGACACTAAACTAACTAAAAAACTTGTTCACGTAGGTTTAAAATTTATTGGTATTACAATGTTTTCGTTTGTCATTCACTCAGTAAAACACTCATAGATCGTTAATTCAACCCTAAAATAGTAATTATCTTAGCATTTTGAACGAAACTACTAGAAGTTTCCCTTTCCGTATCTTAAAGATAACGTGTCACCTTCAACATCAAATGATACGTTGCAAAGCATCTTGATTTCCATCATTTTAAAATGCTTCGCTTGTAGTTTTCATCAGGCACCTGCCAGCTGTGGATAGTGGATACTGAATATTAGTTGGTGTTTGTACACTGAATGAGATGGTATGCGTACTAGTGAGGAAGAAAAGGTTGTTCTTTGTATTAGTCAGTAGCTAACGTTTCGAAAAAATTCTCAATGATGCCAACAACCATTCCAATGGGGGGCTTAGGCCTCACTTTATTATCTACTTGCCTAACTGCGGGTGTCATTGCAAATGCTTATTACCAAAAGAAACAATTTTATCCTTCTGTTGTTTACATTATGAAATCTAATCCTAGTATTGTGGTGAGTATTGAGTTGTTTATCATTTGGCAAATTAAATAAGATTTAAATAAAAACTATGCATAAAGTGTAACAATATATGATCATTGGCTTCAAAAATAAGTTAAACATTTATCAAAAATTCATAATCTAGGCTAAGTGGGAAATTAGGGTAAACGCGGTATATTCCGACATCGTGGGTAATTCCGTCACCTCTCTAGTTTTTCCTATATATTAAGCTTTGTTTTAGTCCCATGCGTTTGTTGATGGTTGAAATGGTGATGTCCCAGGTCTCATAGTGTGGCACAAGAGTCGTTGTAAAATTTATCTCAAGGTCATCTGGTCGTTGAACAACCGCATGCCAGTCGATAGTCGATAGGATTTATGCAGTCGATAGTCGATAGGTTTCTTCAGTAGTTCGATAACTTAACAATGAAAACACTAGTCATTAATAATGAGATAACCTTAAGTCTATGTACATTATATTCTTTATATACAACAAACACCTAACAGATAACGCATTAATGGTTTAATTTTTCAAAGCAGCAGTGCCTTCTTAGGTTTCTTTACTAATGAATTCACCGCTTCACCAGTTCACCTCACCGTAAATATTGTGTGTAAACAAATGCAAGCTTTCCCTAAAATACGGAGGTCACAACTCACACCTTACTCTTTCTTATCCAGAACTGCTTACTCAGTTTTAAATACTCAATCACCAGAATTATCAAACCTCAACTCTATTTAATATATGGCTACTTGCATTTGTTCAACAAATGCGAGCCACTCACAAATGGGATTTGCGAATTTCATATTCTCTCAGGCATATCCAACTCCAAGAATACCAGTTAGTTACAATGGGAAGAAATTAAAACTACGGATGTGCACCTCTGTTGTTCACGTGCGTACTGCAAATTTAAGCGTAACACATTCCCATTCATCACAGAGTGAATTTCAGCAAATGAAATGATCTAAATGTAAAAATCAACCTTGTGAATCAAGTCACGACAAGTACAAGAATCGGCAACAAGACATGGGCCTATGCCCTATTTCGTCACTGAATCGACACTTTTGCAGACCCGCCTGCGGTCCTGGCTGCAGATTCGCGCAACTGAACCACTCATAAGTCCTTCAATACTGAACGAATTTGCTTGAATTTTAATATGTGAGTTATGAGTAAACATTATCGATACGCTGCCGCAGGAATTAATACAGATTTTTACAAAAATTCTTTTTTAATCAAAAACAATAAACATATTTTTTTCTCAACCCAGACACTCGTAAGTCCTTCAATACGGAACGAATTTGCTTGAATTTTAATATGTGATAGATATTATTGATACGCTGCACGGCTGCAGCAGGAATTAATACAGATTTTTACAAAAATTATTTTTTAATTAAAAACAATAAACATAATTTTTCTCAACCCAGACACTCATAATTCCTTCAATAGAGAACAGATTTGCTTGAATTTTGGATTATGAATATCTATTATCAGATGCAGTAAATGAAAAATAGAATGCGCACTTTATTTATGGTATTTAATTTCACGATAGGGGGTTTCATCCCAAGGCACATGGAAAAGCATTCTTTCAACTGAGTAGCACATCATAATTAAATCACGAACAAGAACTCGCTAAAGCCTTCAGCACGTGTTTAGATTATAGAATTTCTTTCCGACAACCGCTGCGTTCTCAAGTTATATGGCTGATCATTAGACTCGTGACCTGTCATCCAAGGCGACCAAAAATTATATCCAAACTTCAGATATGATTCAATGGAAAATTGCACTCAAACCTTTTTCTCACGTCTATGTAGTACATTTTTGTGCCTAATAATCTTGTTCACTAAGTATAGGGCCATTAGGTTATAACCATTTTTATTCAGAAGTGTCTTAGTGCACTGAAATTAACCTCAACATCCATGATAATGGAATCTTTGGCTTACACAGTTCATATGAGTAAAAACCATTTGCCATTGAGCTGCCCATCCAAGCCTGTAACTTGCGGAAAAAAATAAATCTCGCATGTCATTTATTAGTAAAAGAAAATTGTATAAACAAATTTCCCATTGATTAGTATTAAAGCATGTGATCTGACTTGCAACATAATGATACTTGTATAAATTTTTCCAGTGAGTTGAATATCATCAATGGAATATGCTCGTGTTACAAACGTCTGGAAAAAATTTGAGACCGTAAATGCTGCCGGTCTCACTGTAAATATCTAAATTCAGTGAGCAATTATTATCTCCCAAAGTAATGACCGTAGCTCAATGAAACTTGTACACATATTCATTAGGACCTAATGGTGATGTTTAGCACGTGAAAATTTTTTTAATTTCACGTTCATTCGTGAGTAATATGGCAGTACGTGCAGAAATTTGCAGTGAACAAAACATTTTTAGCTCATTTTCTTATTTATGGAAAAAATGCCCTATTGTGCTCATCATATCTGTCTGTCCGTCTATCTATCCATGACTTTATGTTTTTATCGACGAGAAAATGCGCGCTCACTCATTGCAGTGAGTACTGAGTTATATTTTTCTAGCTACTGTACAAATTTGAACGGAACTTTTAATATCCAAACACATGCAACTTATTCATCAGGACCTAATGGTAATGTTAAGCTTGTAAAAAATTTTCCATTTCACCTTCATTCGTGAATCGTGAGTTATAAAGAAATTGGGGCCGAAATTTGCACTGACCAAGAAATTAATTCTGAACTACTGAACTGATTTGGACGAATCTTTGAATATACATTCCTACCTTGCAACATTTATGTTGAGCTTGTGACAATTTTTTTATTTTTCCTTTGTTTGCAAGTTATACAGCTATACGTACATACCAGTATATGGCTTGTTGTCAATTCAAATTTAAAAATTGGCCTAAAAATGCTGGTCGTTTCACCGTATATCCGTATAACTCGCGAACGAAAGCAAAATCGAAAAATTTTTCACTAACTGAGAGGTTAGGATTGTGTGTATTCAAAGTCTCATTAAAATCTATTCAGTAGTTTAGAAGAAATTTCTTGTTCACTGCAGATTTTGGCCGAAATTGAGATGTACCTCACGAATGAAGATAAATGGAAAAAACTTGAAAAGGAAGTTAAAACCCCAAAAATTGTCACGAGCTAAACATAACCATTGGAAGGTTAGGAATATATATTCAAAGTTTTGTTCGAATCTGTTCAGTAGTTTGAAAGAAATTTCTTGGTCACTGCAAATTTTGGCTCAAATTTCTGTATAACTCAGGAATGAAGGTGAAATGGTAAAAATTTTACAAGCGGAACATCACCGTTAGGTCTAATGAAGTTTCATCAAGCTCGCATTTCATTGCTTACAAACTTTCAGATGTACCGTAAAATGGGGTAACTTAGACCGGCGGGGTAACTTAGACCACTTTTCGTTTTTTTTTACAAAAAAACCCACAACTCAAAAACTATTTGACATAGAAAAATTTTGTCAATGGGCATTAAAGGCCTAATACTGAGGCTACATAATACAATAGAAAGATTTAAAAAGTTCGCATATCTAATAGGTTAAAAAATTAAAAATGTGACCCACAAAAAAAAGCTATTATTTAAAGCCTGTCAGAGTACCCCCACAGATGTACGTAATCGGTTAAAATGCATGAGTATCATGCATAAAAACACCGCAATATATTGCACACCTACATGCTCTTACATGTCAAGGTTAAAATAAAAATATAACATGCAGAAAATTTCCTCAAGAAAGTTCGATTCTAGCTTCTAAGTGAAAATAACACTGGCGTAATCTGTCCGATTATTTTTGCAAGCTTCAATACATATGATGGTTGCGTTGTCCCGGGGCTGAACATTTTACATCCGCCGCTCGTAATGCGCTGTTGAGGTCCGGGTTTTAGTCAGTAGTCAGTACCGCAGTCGTATCTTGTCGGGTCTCGCTAAGTTGCTTGTTGGCAGTCGTCATAAGTTTATTGTGGAAGTGTCCCATTAGTTGACAGTCGTTGAAAAAGATAAATGACTTATTATTTTAGCTCGAAAGTCATTGTAAAGTAAAAAAATTGGTCGATAACTTCAGCAAAAGTCGTTGAAATTCCAACGACTATTGCCACTGTATGAGACCTGGGTGACGTCATACATTTGCGCGTCGAACTACTGCCCAAACACTAGGTCTTGGCCATCTAGCGGGAAAATATTGAGATCCAAAGAGACAATGCACACTACCCAGTGAGATCATCGAAAAATGTGTCAAATTTGACAGTTGACCTTGCTCTACCAAATAGTGAATAACTGTTTGTATAGGAAGAATATTATGGTTTGAGACTTTTAAATACGTCTGTGAATATATTAGGAATCCTTTAAGTATACTTGTATTCGCTGATTTCAAGTGGTAAATAAAATAATAGATGATTAAGTTGAGAAATGGATTTAGACATATGAAAACTAATTCTGTCACAACTTGAATTGGACACACACAGATCGTTCCAAGCTATGTACAAAAATTAAAATTTTCTTAATTAAAAGCTTAATAGTTGTTAATTAAAAGCGTAATTAAGTAGTGTTCAATATTCATTAGTGTTCTAATTCAAAGCCGTGTTGTATTCCAATACAGCTCACACAGCGAACGGAATTCGAACACGTGGATGACGGCATTACGTATTGGTAGAATTTGAAGCGCAGATGGAATACGCCTTACCAGGTGCTGAATATTGCCATTTAGGAATATAGGGATTTGGTAGGACCGTAGGTTTGCATTCTAAAGGCTTTTAAATAAATATGGCAACATTTTGTGACGTTTCATTGTTGCTGGCGCCGCTGAGTGGTGTGTAGTACGGTGTTTTGCGAGTCACATAAAGCAAACAGAACTCGAGTAACGCATACAGTTATTTTTTTTATAGTTTTTCATTTCTCGATGCGTCCTTAATGTGTCGGAATATACCGTATAGTGTTTACCCTAGGCATAGGCTAAGCCACCTGTGAATCGCACAAAAATGCCTGTAAGTCTGGGCAATTTTACCTGTTTCTATAAAAAGTGCAATCAATCTAATAACAATTTATTGAGTGTTAAATAAAAAAAATGGCCTGTTTTTACCAGCAATTTTTAAAAATTGCCAATAAAATGATAGTTTCCATCTGCAATTTTAGCAAACTTCTGCCAGTGCCAGATATTTTGAATTTGTTCTCTAGAATTCTTGGAAGATCAGAATAAGATAGAAAAAGGTAATATTTATATTAAAATGTCATGGTTTAAAGTTATCATATCTGGAAGGTTGGTCATAATTTTACAAATTTTATGAGCAATAAATTGCTGTTTTTCCTAATTGTTACAGATGAAATTCAGCTGAAATATAAATGGTCAAAATATCAATTTGTGCAGGCTGGTTTGGAATATATCTACCTACCTTTTTGCTTTGAAAGCTCTACTAGAGATTTCCCAGATTACTGCTATTTTTGAAACTGCAAGAAAGCAAGATTTCCTCTAGATGAATTACCTACCCAGGGCTACCCTGGCTACCCAAACAGGAGAATTTGGCAAATTAACCTATGAATTTGACAAAATGCCCATGAATTTGGCCAATTTCACCTTTTCCTATGACCCTTTTCTAATTTCTTAAGTAAAAAAAAAGAAAAATGGCCCACTTTCACTGGTCATTCCCAAAAGTTATCTGTAAAACAATCATTTTTACCCATGATTTTAAGGAAATTCTGTCTGATTTTCTACATTGATTTCCCCCTAACAGGCCACAGGGCCCCCATGCCCTACCCATCTAATTGCTAACAGAAGTGTACCTTCTATTCTACTGCACGATTCCAAACGTATTGAAAATTTGGTATATTTTAATAATGAGTAGGAAAATTGTGCACAGCTGTTTTTTCTCATTCACAGGCAGCTTCTGCCAGTTATACAGTTAGGGTCAGTATAATCTATAACAATTATTATGTATAGTACCTACATTTAATTTTAGAGTTCATTGATATTCTTCATCACCAATTATTCAGAGTTACTCTAATGATGAACCCAATTTAATGAATTTCTATTCATTTAAGTATAAATTTAAGGTGAATAATTTATATACCAATAGAAGGAGAAAGATTAATATTTTTTTACATATTTATAAATGTTTGCTATGTCCTCCTTGTGCTACATGGCAAACATCTAAACTGTAGCTAAACATTCCTGAGTGTAAGGTAGGATGCATATTAAATTAAGATCTGGCTTTACACTTTGGGCCACCAAGGTCACCTGATCTCACCCCATGTCACTTTCTTATGGGTGTATGTTAAGGAAGCTGTTTACATCCTGCCTCTACCAGCAACTTTGGTTGATATGAAGAACCATATCACTGCTGCAGTGCACTCAAGTAACAGAAGATATGCTTTCTGGTGTGTGTGGGACAAGTTTGGCTACCCTTTAGACATTTGCCGTGCAGCCCAGGGGTGATATTGTAGAACATATTTATAAATATATTCGAAAAAAATTGAATCTTTCTCTATCAATTGGTACCTACACAAATTATTCCTTTTGTATTCTTACTTAAATGAATAAAAATTTATATGTGAACATTTCTTCTTGCCTTGAGTCACCGACATCATGACATGTGGAACAGCCTCCCTGATAGCATCGTTGACGCTCCGAGTATGAATGCCTTCAAGAACTGACTAGACGAAGCTATGCAGGAGCATATGTTCAGTCTTAAAATGCCTAGCAAATTATGGACCAGGCAATAAGTCCAGCAGCTATATCAATCAATCGTCAGTTATGGAAAGATCGGGTTCCAAAGGCCGGATCCCTTGTGAATCGAGTCACGAAATATTCAAGAATCGGCAACAGGCCATGGGCCTATTTCTTCAGTGCCGACACTTCTATTATATTCTATGAACAAGAATCGGCAACAGGCCATGGGCCTATTTCTTCAGTGCCGACACTTCTATTCTATTCTATTCTATTAAATTGGGTCCATCATTTCAAATAACCCTGTATGATGCATGATTGACTTGGTAAAAATCTTTTCGCTCCTAATTTACAGTAGCTTGAATATTCAGGGCAAATATTACTTGCTTCTGCAATTTTTTACAGAAATTTAATCATGAATATTTTATTGTGGCTTTAAAAATGTTGACTTTATAGGCTACTTTCTATTTTTTCAGGCTCTCTACTTGATGGCATTCACATTAGCTTTGCTCCTGGGTAAACTTCTGAAGAAAATATTCTTTGGTACTCTAAGAGCAGCTGAGTCAGAGGTGAGTGATGGTAAAACTGGTTGAAATATCCACCCTCAATTGTGAATATAATTATCCATCCACCTCACCCATATTGGTGGAAAATTTTTCATCTTCTTATTTTTATACTCCTTGATGACACACTCCAGCTCAATAGTTAAATATTAGTTCTTAGTAATATCTGTAGTTTCAAATTATAATAATTTCAGACATGAAATTTTCAATGTGGATTTTCTGTCAAGTCCAATGTCTTCCAATGATTTTATGAAGAAAATGTAAATTCTTGTAGGGATTGGCCAGTGTGCATAAATTACGTATGTGTTCATTGGCAGATGTCTCCAAATTTACCAAATAATGATAAGCTCACTAGCAGTTTGGCTAGATATATATATAGTATATATAATTGTAAATATCATAAAATGAACTTTGTTATCATCATTAACTTCATTATTATTGTTTGTGGGCAGCATTTAATCGAGCGTTTCTTCTATGCCATTACTGAGACGTGCCTGGCGTTCACGGTCTTTAGGGATGATTTCAGCCACAAGTTTGTGGCTCTTTTCACGGTGCTGCTTTTCCTAAAATCCTTTCACTGGCTTGCGGACTACAGAGTTGACTACATGGAGCGTTCACCCATCATCACAAGACTGTTCCATATCAGGATAGCATGTGAGAATACAGACTATTACAAGAATCTCTTGAACCTTGTCATATTCCTTTTTAAATATTAGAGATACTGTATCATAATTTGCATCAATGAAGATATTGTGTGTCACAAATTCTTGAAGAAGTCAATGAGAATTCTCACAGTGGAGCTTACCAGGCTTAAGTCTGGAATAATTTTGTACCCAGGTAGCTTGCTAGTTGCTCATCTACTTCAGGCATGAATTTGCTACTGTCAGACTAAAGTACCATTCCATTGACTAACCCTCAAATATATTGTTTCAAAACTAGTATAAAGAAATCTCAATTCATTGATGTTTCCACCCATGGTTTTTCCTTATAAAATGAGTTGCCCTTTTATCTGTAAATAGCAAAAACCTTTTAGGTTTTGATTCTGAAAATCACATTTTTTGAAGACATACTTGCATCATTATTGAAAGAGAGAAATTGTATTTTTTACAAAATAAGAATTCTTCTAAAGATACTTATATCATTAGTCTGCTTATATCGCAAGTTCACAAGGAATTTAAAAGCAAAGAAAATGCCAAGAAAATTCACCATATCGATATTGAAAACGTTTCGGAGTCCAGCTCCATCATCAGAGTTGTTCATAACTAGTCCTGTTTATTTCGATATAATGTTAGGTCTTGTTTAGGTTTTATGTCTGTCTTTGAATTTTGACTTTTAAAGTGATTTTATTCATTTTTAGTTTAGTCGAACTGATGATGGAGCTGGACTCCGAAACGTTTTCAATATCGATATGGTGAATTTTCTTGGCGTTTTCTTTGCTTTTAAATTCCTTGTCTTCTAAAGATGCTCTGAAAACATAATTTTATGCATGGCAGTAAAAATGTTGAACCATGTTTACTAAGATGAGCAGCTCTACCCAGGATATTGTATCTTGATCATTAAAGGAGTGCTAGCCTGAGTCAGCTCATGATTTTTTTAATGAAAGTTAAATTTGTGCTCATAACTTATGATTGTTGAAAAAAATATAACTTGGTACTCACTGCAGTGAGTGACAGAGAGCGCATTTTCTCATTGACGAAAACTTGAGGTCACGGACGGACGGACAGACAGACATGGCGAGCACAATAGGGCATTTTTTTCCATAAATGAGAAAATGCGCTAAAAATAGGAATCAGTCTGAGTTATGACAGGATGTAGAATCCAAGTTATTACCTAATTTTTTTTATAGGAGTCAAAGTCTGAGTAGATTGTTAAATTGGAGTTTTAGTCTGAGTTTTATCTTATGATTGTTGATAATGAGTTCATGTCTGAGTTATTATGATCATTATTAAAAAAGAAGTGTAAGTCTGAGTTGTGACATGAGTGTTGAAAAGAAGAATATTCAGAGTTTGAATTTTATGTTTATTCCCTAGCGCTCTTGGCCCTGCTGAGCACCATAGATATCCTGCTGGTACGGCACGCCTACTACTCCACCATGTCCATGGGAGCGTCCGTCCAGCTCGTGTTTGGGTTCGAGTATGCCATCCTCCTGACGGTTGCCTACAACATCGGCGTCAAGTACATCTGCCATGGCATTGACTTGCACAGGGAGAACCCCTGGGAGAACAAGGCCATGTATCTGCTATACACAGAGCTTTTTGTGGGTGAGTATTTGATCTAATTTGTTGACATACTCTCATAGGGGTTACGTATTTGCTCATGAAAATGTTTTTTTGTCTGATAGGTGACCATCACTGACCAAATTCTTGGAAAATGGAAAACTCGTTGACAATTCATAAATGATTTTATGTCTGACTTTTTTTTCTATGAATATTTATTTGTTTATTATGCCTTATGTGGTGACTTTTGTCATGGTATTTGCGTGGCTGAAATAAATTTGATTTACGGTATTGTTCATTTTTCAGACATTTATAAAAATGTGCAGCTCATGAATTATTCAGCCTTGAATGTTATGGATGGTATTTAGTTATTGGCTATTATGTTTAAATGGTTATTAAACACTTCCACATAGATGACATTTTTTCAACCCACTGTGATGTTGGATTACCATTTTCCTTTGTGCAGGTTTGATCAAAGTGATGTTGTATGTTGTGTTCCTGATCATTATGGTGCGCATCCACACCTTCCCGCTGTTCATCATCCGGCCTATGTATCTCACCATGAAGTGAGTCATCATTTTGTTCATCATTGTTCCCTATTTAATATTAAATTCACTGATAGTGAACTGAAAGAAGTATTGATAATTGTTGAACTGTAATATTTTGATGATTTTTTTAACCCCAACGTTTACTGAGAAGTACTGCATTGGTTATAGGTCATTCAAGAAGGCGCTACAAGACACACTGCAGAGTAGGCTCGCCATCCACAACATGAACACTCTTTACCCTGACGCGACGGCCGAGGAGCTGCAGCAGGCAGACAACGTCTGTATCATCTGCCGGGAGGAGATGATAGTCAACTCTGGTGAGATGGCACGATTTCAGGTTGAAATAGGTATCAAATATTATGGTTCGAAGCAAATATTACATGTATTCGCACCGTGTAAATAAATTTTCATTCAGATGAAACCAAGTATTGTTGTTTGTAGATTTGTTAGATGATATTTCTGTGTTATAAAAGAACATCTGATTTCTCAACTGAAGCACTTAATGTAGCTCCCAGTGAACAATATAAACTAGTGTTTTACGGAAGGCAGGGTAGTCCAGTGGTTACAATTTAGAGTATATTGGGATTGAAGAAGTGAGTTGCGGGTTCAATCCCGGCTACCTGTGACAATTCTCTTCAAAACTGGCGACGTGGCCGGACGCTTAAGAATAGCAAAATTGGAGCAGTAAAGATTCGAGTTCGAAACCCCAGCAAGATGTAAGAATTCTGTGAAATCTCGAATCGGCAACAGGCAAGAGTTGGCCTATTAAAAGCTGACCCCACAATTACTAAATGTTTACAGGTGTCAAGAAGCTGCCGTGCAACCATCTGTTCCACGCGCTGTGCCTGCGCTCGTGGTTCCAGCGGCAGCAGACGTGCCCCACGTGCCGACTTGACGTGCTGCGCCCCACGCCCGCCCCCGCCAGACCTGCCGCCCCTGCTGCTCCTCCCCAGCAGCAGATGCCTGCCCAGGGGGCGCCTGCCAACATGGGTATGAATGCCTCATTTTGTTTGTGTATGGGTACAAACGTCTAATGGGTATTGATGTTTCAATGGGTGGGAATGTATCAATGGGTATAAATCTCTCAGGAGTATTGTCTATTGTTGTAGCTAAACTTTCCTTCAGGATTTATTGCGGTACAATTTGATACTTGAATTATATATAATTAAATATTACGCAAATATATTACGTTCAACTTTCTACATAAGTATTAAAATATTCTCTGATTGAATATTACTGTAATTATTCCGTTCTCAGTGGAGTTCTTCCAGCAAGTGGCGGAGCACCAGGAACGCGCTCGACAGCGCCTCGCGGCAGCTGCCGCCAGCAGCAGGAATCTGCAGGCCACTCCTGCTGGAGCTGCAGACCAGCAAGCTAATCCTGCAGCCCGTGGGGAAGCTCTTCCTCCTGTGCCTCCTCCCCTTCCTTTCCCCATGATGGGAGCGCCTTTCCCGGGTTTCCTGCCTCCGCCCTTCCCACCGTTCCCAATTGTACCTCCTCATCTGGTGCAACAACCCCAGCAGCAGCCTGGTACGTGGATTCTTTTATGCATTATTTGTTTCCTTTATTTGTATTATTTTTATGAATTCTCATATTTTCTAGTTCTCCTTATATTATTGCATTACTCCTACGTCATAACATATTCTTATATTGTATTTCTTATACAATTCTTCTTCAAGTAGGCGTTTTAATGTTTTATTTATTATGCAATGTCCAGTCTATAGAAACTTCCATATAAGCACAATTATTGAATCTGCATACTTGTGATAGGTGTGAATATAACTTGGGGGTCAAGTTTGTAGTGTGAAATACTTCATTAGTTCAGTTTAGTTCTAATTTGTTATTATTAGTTCGGTTATGCTTGCCGTGCCTTGCTAATTCAAGACGGAATTCAGGCGCCGCCATGCGCACTGATGTTATCGTGAGACCGTACTGTCAAAAATAGTTAAAAGTTTGTAACTCCGTAAACCAATCACTGACGGCATTTTAAACTAAACCTCCAATCACAGACGAGAAATCGGCCGCTACGTGAACTTAGGCAATTATTTCTTATACGTTCCCAGGCCAGAAAATGTTTTGCAAGGGGCTTTGTTACAAGCTTATGTGGCACGTTGAATCTAATGTCAAAGTGAATTAGTTTTGTAACCAACGAATTAAATTGTTTCAATTTAAATGTAGCAAGAAATGTATGTACTATTATTGATGATATTTTATTTTCAGGCCCTTCAAGCAGCGGCACCAGCACCTCGACGCCCGTCACTCCTGCCACGGCCTCCACTTCCACCGCCAGCAGTTCCGCCTCTGCCGTACCTGGTAACCTTTCATTACACTTCCACTGCCATTATCTTGCTCCATTCAGTCACAGTTTATTACTTATGAACTAACAAACTCCCTGCCCTAATATTGATGATACAACCATTATGCCATCTTGCCTTTTATTTGCTTTAATCGATCCATATTATTTTATTACTCCTACGTCATATTACATTCTTATATTGTATATTGCGTATATATTATCCATATTATAGGTGCGTGTTTTCCACAGGAGCTGCAGCTGCTGCCAGTCCTGCATTTTTGCCTCCGTTCCCTGGCATGTGTGAGTGTTGAGACCAGTCAAATTGACCGGACTTGAAATATTCGTGTTTTTCGCTTTTCGAAAAAAATACAGCTTCTCATGTATGTTTCCATTTTAACTATGGAAATAATTCCCTTAATTTAATCTTATCTTCCTGCCAAATTTTTAAAATTATTTGAACAACTGTTAAGATCAATGATAATGTCTTTATTTTGAAGAATAACTTTCGTGACGTTATATATTGCATGCAACGGTAATTAATGTTTCTTTAAAATGAAATAATAATCATTAAAATAATAATTATTCTTCAAATAATCTCGATATTTTACATCAAGTTATTTTATAGATTGTGCATCGAGGCCTATTGTAGTGCTTTCAAAGCTGAAATTCGAAACGGTACCATAAATTTTGATGCAACGGGCATTACAATTTTCATTGCTAGGATTTTTAGATATCTTGCAATTTAAAAAAAAAACTCATTATTTTTCATGTAATTTTATTGAGTTGCACGAGTGATTTGCTGCCGTATTACAGTGCCCCCACCGACAGCCCCAGCAGACTTCGGCCCCTTGACGCTGGAGGAGCTCGTGGCTCTCGAGGGGCGCGAGCGGCGACACGTCGAGGCGCGACTCAAGGCCCTCAGCAACATCAACGTCCTCGTGCACGCTGCCCTCGTGCAGGTCGGATCATATTGTGACTGAAAATGAATTGCTTTCATTTGTAAACTGCTAATTAAATTGGTTTTGTGTTGACTTGAACATAATCTCGTTGTTGTGTTGTCAAACGATACCTATCACTTCAAATAAATTATTTTTCGTTTATGGCAATACATTTCATACTTTTTTCAGCGTATAAATATGAGCAACAATAGAGTTCCTAAGCCCCAAATGCAATTACGACGATATTGCCAAATTAAATTTTAAATTCTGTCAACCCTCTGTGTCTGGCTTTTTATTTGCTTCTGTTGGGCCTGTCGTTTGGCTGCAAACCGCGGCTAAACAAATCCCACAAAAAAGTTGAAATTTGAAACCTTTTGTTGAAAGCAACTTACAGATTCATTAATAATAATAATATTCGTAATTTTTCTCGTCCTTTTTTCTATCATCAATGTGTTTATTAAGCATGCATGTTGCGACACAGCACAAAATATTTTTTGATGGCTTTTCCGCTTCATTACACATTTAATTCCATTTTTTATTTAGTAAAAATAACTGAAGAGCTTGTTGGCAAGTTGTTGCCCAACATATTCTTATCTGAAGTATAAAATCTTGTCAAGGCTGTTAAATGCCTTGACTTGCGAAAGTATAAAGTAAAACTAGTTGAAACATGAACACATGAAGATGTGTTCAGCCATTATATTTCTCACAGAAACTTTTCTCGCTTGCATCATCGTTGAATATGTGAATTGTGGTTCACATGTTTTCATGTGTTCGTTATATTCCTATTGTAAATTGTTCTCACAAAACGGCCGCGGTTCGTCTACTCCTACCTTAGGACGCAATATAGTTCCTTCAATGCTATTTAATATAAAGCATATGTATAATGTTACCTCCATTGAAATCGTTTTCCTCTTATTTGAACTCGGAGTTTGGTTATTTGCAGATGACGCAATACCAACAGCTGATGACGCGGCTTGACTTAGAATATCCACTGCCTCCTCCACCTCCTCCTCCTGCTGCTACGACTACTGCAACTCAGGTCACTACTTCGGCTCCGTCTACTGCTACTTCTACTGCCACTACCACATCTACCGCCTCTACTGCCACTACCACACCTACTGTCACTACCGCCTCTACCGCCGGTGCTACAGACGCGCCTTCTGCTTCTACGAGTGCCGCGGCGGACAGTAGCCAAACGAGCAGCGTCTCTTCCACGCCTATCAATTCGGCCGTTAGGTAATTAACTTGAATAGATTAATTTATTGCTAATTTTAATAAGATCAATTGTAGTTTTTTTTTTCAGTGAAGTAGATTGGAGATCATTTTATTGGATGAACAGCTTAATTAATCAGTTGAATAAATCTGAGTATTTTATACTTATTATTACGTTTTCTGTCATGCAAGTGATAAGCACTAAATATGATTTTAATACCCAAATGCCTGCTAAACAATAGTATTTTAAACTTATTACTTGAGTAAGACGTCATCTGTTAAACTTTTTTCGTGGTGTCGCAGCTCGCCGTCATCTGACAGTGACGTGGGGACGCCCGAGGAGATTCGTCGCCGACGCCTTGAACGCTTCGCGTCGGGCTCCGGCAACTGACTTCACCTCACCATAAATGAATTGACCTGACTTCATCGCAAGTGACCTGACATGACCTCGCCTCAACGGAGTATACCTGACCTCTCGAGTGACCTGGCTTGACATCTCATTCTGCTTCTGCTGCAGGATGATCGTACATTCTGCTTCTGCTGCAGGATGGTCGTACATTCTGCTTCTGCTGCAGGATGCCGGTTGTTAGTCAAGTGTCCTTATGGTCATTGCAGGTTATTGGCTATCACTTACTTTGATTTCTAGATCGTGGTTTCCTTCACAGAGTCTTTAGTTCAGTGCAAGATTATTATTTATCGTATATTTTATACAATGAAAAATCAAATGCAGTGAAAATGCAATGCGTCAGTTCGTTATAAACGATCTGAGTGAATATCTATGCGGAAGTATTTGTGTACAGTTACTGTATTCTGGTTGTTTTGATTAGTTTACTAGTTTATTTTCCAATGTAAACAATATCCACATTACTCTAAGAACCTTATTTGCTTTCTGCAAAATAAAACTTAAATTGAACGAAGACCATTGCCAATGGTTGTGCTTGCTGTCAACGTAATTCTGACGAATCTTGACTGCTGTCCAAGTATTACCTTCTTCACCTTAAATTATAATATTGTATTTTTGGTTAGCTCAGTAATGCTGATTTTCCCGATTTTAATATTTCTTCAGAGAGTCATAAGGAATCGAAAACTAGCAGCTGGTGAATATCAGCGTCCAGAATCAGGCAAGTCGATTTTACGTTGAACCTGACGAATTATTCTCAATCGAGAAGAGTTTCAGACGGTTCAATATCACTCATCATACGGAGTCATGCCACTTATGGTGAAACTGAGATTATTTTTTTCTGATTCGTCATGGATAACAGTAATGTATGCTTTGTCCTTATTTTTTGGCCCGATGTGCTGGATGCGCGGTCATTTGGGAATATCTTGTTTATTTCGCCTTAAGGAAAAAAAACTTTCTCAGTATGATGTCAGAAAAATATTTTACATATTATTTTGCTGGCCAAATAATAGTACCGGTCTCTTCTTACTCAAAACTGAATGAAGATTACGTCTCGTTATCTCGCGTTGGACCTCACTTCGATTTTGATGCTTTTTTTACAGTTACATCCTTCAGTAGTTGGACTTTCATTCGTTTTTTTCGTGCAGGAATGTTTAATATATACGTACATTTAATGTTCTTTATATTTTAAAAGGCAATCTTTTCACCCTCATCTATGATTGAAATACGGTACTAATTCATTTATAGTGATCATTTGAGTGTCGAAGCTAGACGTTCCGTAAACTGTACGGATTATCCTGTTGTGGGTGATTGTACTGTATGATTACACTGATAGTTGCATAAACCCATAAATACACTTCATTTCCGACGTTTATGTGTGAGACTGTGTATCAATCTTATGTACTTCATTTGTTAGATAATCTTCGTTTGTCATAAGTTACCCTTATTCAGAGTGTTCTTAATAAAATATGAAATCTACCTTAATAAGGAAACAAATTTTTTCCATTACGATTACAAAAGTGACCCAACACTTCCATCGTGAAATTTTCAGGACTTCCATCGTCCTGAGTACATTTTTATTGGTAGTTTACAAAAAATAATTCGGGCATAGATGAAAGGTTTGACGTCGAAGTGGCGAGGATAAAAATGTATGTAAGCACTGGCATTTGATAATTATTTTTTTTATTTCAGACGAGGTATCGATGAAGTATTTTGGGTTTTTTTCACAACAGAATTTCAGACATATCATTTTCCGCACATTCTTCAGAAGCTTAGTATTAATCGTTTCGGAAGGTCTGAAAACTGGCTTTTTGAATAGGTATCAAAACTTATTTTTATCCTATGCATGACCCTACTGGTATTTCGACATGGCCCATTCAATGAATCAATATATACTAAAACGGTCAGTGACTTCAGTCATTAGATCATTATCGGAGGCCAACCCAGTTAATTGTAGAGAAAGTGATTAACCGAATGAGAAATTGAATTGATGGAAGACAAACTCTAATTAGTAAATATGAAATGGGGCATTTCTTTTACCCGAAATATTTAAACAACTATTACGCTAAACTTCACATTTATCTTGCTTGGGACGCCTGTCGGTGACCACCACTGCCGTGCTTCGAATGGACTATCATGATCCCTTCCCTGAAGAACGTAGCCTACAACACTTCATGACTGTAACATTATCAGCCGCACGCCACCAGACAGATCACATCCATTGAATTAGATCAATCAGCCCACAGGAAAATAAGCCTGGCGTCGTATGGCCCAGCGTCTGTCTCTTATACACATCTAGATGTGTATAAGAGACAGNAATCTATGGACGCAATGATTCTGGCTCTCTTTAAATGCACGTTAATCACTTGACTAAATGAACTTTTCTGTGACCCGAATACATTGGTCCGGACTCTGGTTTTGGACTCATATGGTCCGCCGGGCGTGACATGAAATTTTTAGTAATTTGACAAAAATTCGGTAAAAAATATTTATGTTTTCTGGACGTTTCAGAACATTCTCTATCGATTAGTTTGATCGAAAAATGCACTTTTCTGTGACCCGAACTCATGGGTCTAGATTTTAGTCACTCGGTCCGGGGTCCACCTGAGGATGCCTGCTGTCTCTTATACACATCTTACCGACGAATGGCTTAATCCGCGGCTGATTGGTGGTCATCCGGAAATATGCTAGGCGTTCCTTTCAAGGCTGATTGGTGCACAAATTTAGTGGTGCACGGCTGCGTACCCAGCAGAAAGATGTCAATGATCGGTTACGGATAGCAGATTCCATTCACGGCTGATTGGAGGATGTCCGGAAAGATCGAAGGCGTTCGATTCAGGGCTTATTGGTGTACAAAATTTGTGGTGCACGGCTGCGCTCCCCAATCCTACTCCTGTTCAAAATATCAAGCTCAAAATCCCGATTAGAACCGTCAATTGGGATCAATTATATGGAAATTATTCTGATTAGCACTTTGGAATTCTTCTCCACTAATAATATTATTTGAAATCCACAGCACTTCTTAACTAAATTCACACACTCCTTACACTTGCTTCCATCCATCCAAGATGGTCGTCGCGGGAGCGTAGCCGTGCACCACAAATTTTGTACACCAATAAGCCCTGAATCGAACGCCTTGGATCTTTCCGGACATCCACCAATCAGCCGTGAATGGAATCTGCAGCCGGCTGTTTCTCCTGAGGGCTGATTGGTCTAATTCAATTGATTCGTTCTGTCTGGTGGCTTTCGGCTGCCTATATGATTTTCCAGAAGTGTTGAAGGCTACGTTCCGGAGGGCAGGAGTCATGATAGTCCATTACATCCAGGGCAGTGGTGGTCTTCGGCAGGCTTCCCGGTCGTCGCCTGACACTACGGACACACGCACATTTTGATCCATCCGCAGTAAGACACCTCAAAGTTAGCAACTTCCAAAATTCTTTGACCTCTTTATTGTTCAATATTTAAACCATTTGTTTTTCTCTTTTTACTTAACATTACGCTTTTCTGTGATCATGTTCACAGCAGCTGTACATGTACTTTTCTGACGTTGGAGAGATCTGTCATTTCTGTGTCCCTCCTTCTCAGTTCGGATGAAATTCAAGTGGTGTCATGAAATCATTGAATGGGAATCGGGTTTTCTCGTGGGTGATGGCTGTAGTGCAAGGAATATAACTTGATGGTAACTATTTCATGGTCATATTAACAAGTAGGCCATAACAGGCTCTCACCGGTATTTTAAAGTGATGAAAGTATATTCTCGTTCGGCTGATACACTTGGTTTTAACCGATTCATTCTCTTCTTTCATCAATGTATTCGACTCTGTGTGTAACGCAATTATTCAATTTTCATTTTATTTTCGCTCTGTTCTAATAAGTGAAAGAAAATTGGTCCTTAGGGAGTCATCGAAGCGATACTAATAATATTTTTAAGTCAAGAACATATAATTGAAAGATAAAACTATTACTTGAAACTATTAATACTTTGATGCCGAAATTCCTGCTCAGGCACCGTCTATGGAAAAATTAGCACATCCCCGTAGAGTAAAAATAAAATACGAGTAAAAATAAACAATTGTGTAGTAGTTTATTCATATAAACATGCAGGCTAATATACTTCTTGAGATACTACACCTTATTAAGCAATAGGCTACGTAATTTCATGCCACATTCTATCATCGATCATGCGTGTCAGAATAGAAACGAAAATAAATAAAAAATGGCACATCCACACTGGGCAGGCTGATGCCCAATGCTAAATATTTGATTAGTGATTCAAATACCTGAAATAACCGATGGTTTTGAATACATCGTGTCTTTTTAAACGCGAATACTCAATCCAACATGTTATTCACGATTTATTAATAAAATTATCAATCTAGTTCTTATCAAGTGATTAAATATTAAGCACATTAATTCTAGGAATGTTTAAAAAGAAGTTTCTTCTCGTCCTAAATCACTTCAAAGAAGACGTTCATTAATTGATTTTCAGAGCAAAAAAAAAAATAATAATAATGCACGAGGGAAATGTGCCAACTTAATTAATTCGCATCCAATACAATACTTGAACGGTAACCAGAAAAGTATTGTAAACTCAGATCTCAGTTTAACACTCAATAGGAAACCTCAACTATGTCCGTTATACATCATACACAAATGCCCACTCAATTTTTATTATTGAGTACCTACTTCAAATTCACAGCTATATTGTCCATCCGGTATTCATTATTATCTACGCAGCGCTAAGTTTAATGCTAAGGTAATCATATCAGACTATTGTAAAAATAATAACAAAACAATATAAGTCCATATACAACTGAACAATATTGGTTCAGTAATAAAATTTCGTGCTTACGACGTCGTTAAATGCGACTACGAATCTTAAGTTAGCTGACCACACGGTATTTACGCCAACGATTTATTTATGAAGATTTCCAAGTTCCAAGTCTAGGTTTGTCTGTGGTTTAAGTAGGAATTTTAATAGAATTAGTATTAATAGGATCAAGATCATTGTATGAGATTAAAAATGCTAGGGTCTATAGAACAAATTGAGTCTCTTGCGTTGTTAAGTTCACGTTCTCGTACAATGATAGCAAGCATTATGGCACTTACCGTACTAATGATACTGACATCTCTATGTATAATAACAGGCACATATAGAACATGTTTGAATAATTTTAAAGTTTTCTTTCAGAATTTTTGTATAGTTGTTATTGTTCCATGAAGCTAAATCTAATTTACCAATAACGGTGAGAAATTGAACTTTTCACCATTGAAGGATTCTAGGTTAGGCTTACGGAATTTCAAGTGTTAAATAATTTCATAGCACTAATTTAAACTAACTGCTTAAAAATATTTAACTTGTTCAAACATAATTAATAAAAAGTGATAGGAAGCAATGCAGCATTTTATACACACGGTAAGTTTGAAATATTTTAAAACAAAAACGAGATTATTTTTACCAAATTATAGTGAAAACACCGAATCACCACGAACCTGGTAGTAGTAGAACAACGACCTGCAATAAGGATAACTCGTTGTTACAGGTCACATCAACGTTTCTTGTTAGCATATCATTCTAAGCTTCGTAATGATTACCGGGTATTTTATGGTCTTGGTTATTTTAAATTAACACAGGTTAGGGCAGTCTTATAGTGATTTTAATATTAAATATTCAAAAAATGACTCATTAAATGAGTTAACGCTAGTGTTTTACATGTCCATATCACAGCTTTGGCAAGTTATCATGGCACTCGTTTTAGCACGCTATTGGTAACGACACATTCTCATCAGGTCCAATAACCTTAACCTTAACATTAATAACGAAATACACAATGTATACACTTAAAGACAATTACTTCCATATTGATAGCGAGTGCAGGCTTTGAAATAGCATCTAAATTAAAATAATAATGGAATATTTTTTCGTTATACATGAGTGACTTAGGTCCACGTTTCTTGCATCATTGCATTATCATCATCAAAATTTTCGATTTTCGACTGCAAAAATTCAGCTCCAAAATAAAAGTGGAAAGCATCCCGCTCTGAAGCCCTTATAGACCACAATGAAAAATCGCCAAAAGAAAGAAATTAATTAATATTTCTTTCGACTCGTTTCTGAGCCAAGCAAAAAAAGCATAACATCAACTCTAAGCCATCGTTGTCTTCTGGTGACGATTAACTGCACCTGGAGGCCTCTTGTAATGTTATTTTATGCAGTGTCAACATTTAGGCTCTTCAGAAAAAGGGTGTGAGGTTCAGTGCGGAATACCCAAAGTGGAACAAGTTCAGAAAATATTGGTAGAGAGGTCAACAAGACCAAAGCCTGATTATGGCTGTCCAAGTAGCGAGGAGACGAGAACGGTCGAGAAAAATTACGAGTAGAATAATGCGTTGAGTGGAGCATTCTCCGCCCTGACACACGCGGCGCACGGAGAACGTCCTACCCTGAACGAGTAGGATGTAGGCGCTCGGAGGACGTCCTACCCTTAATGAGTAGGATGCAGGCGCTCGGAGAACGTTCTACCCTTAATGAGTAGGATGCAGGCGCTCGGAGAACGTCCTACTCTGAACGAGAAGGATGTAGGCGCTCGGAGAACGTCCTACCCTTAATGAGTAGGATGCAGGCGCTCGGAGAACGTCCTACTCTGAACGAGTAGGATGTAGGCGCTCGGAGAACGTCCTACTCTGAACGAGTAGGATGCATGTGCTCGGAGAAAAGCCTACCCTGAATGAGTAAGATGGGTGGCTGTAAGTAGTAACAGTAGGAGTAAGGTGGCTGTATAAGACCGACCGCATGGGAGCCTGCGTAGGAAATTCGAGGCAATAAGGCATGGCTTCTCCGGAGGCGATCAGAAGTGGCAATTGGCTTGGACCTTGTTGTTCTTGGTGGTCTCTGAGACCCATTTAACCCGATACGCCACTATTTATACATCCTTTTTTTATTAATTTATATTATTTATATCTACGTTTATCTGAAATGGCTTACCACGGCAGCATGCAACAACTTCATCCAGATCTCATAAGAAAATTATTTCACGGGGTGATAAATTGATCACGGTATGAGTAGGAATCTTAATCGAGCCCTAGATAACGCATTCATGGGGGAAATCTAACCGCTTGTCCAAAAAAATTGCAAATCACTGATCAAATTCAAGTCACTCTAGACTGCATCAGCTTTTTCAATATTTGCGGTCGATGTTCCGTTGATAGTCGTGTAGGAATTTTTCCTCTTTATCCCTGGAGAATCCAGCTGATGTTCACCCTCCGTAACCTCTTCCGTTTCACCAATATCGTTCAAGGGCGACAATTCTTCTACGCTGATAGCGCTCAATTTATCATGCAGACTTTTCATGCTGGAATGAGCACCATTTGCCGTTTTCTTGTTTTCTGGTGTTTTGCCGTTTTCCAAGTATGACTCCGACGGCGAATATGAACCACTAAAACCGAGAGGGGAACATGGCATGGAAGTGAAATGTCCGTTTCCAGAGTCGTAAGACAATGGAGTGGGAGGTGAAGCCGTCTTCAATGAACTTTGAGATCCTCGTCTTGGAATATCAACTGGAGGAGTCGCCAGAGGCAAAACTTGGCCTTCCAGTACAAGCGATTCATCTCCTACAGACGATGATCCACGCTCAGGGATAGCTGAGAGTCGACCAGATCTTGGGTAAGCTAACCCTCCACTCATAGCATCGCTGTCACGCCGTGTGGAAGTATCTTTCTGCGATCCTTTCCTGCTTTTGGTGGACACATTGTTAGTAGGAACTGTAGGCTTGGAGGTGGTGCTGGGCGTCTCCCAAGGGAACATGTACCCTTTGTGGCGTCGCCACGAAGGTACCAACTTGGACAAAACTTCGAGGTATGCATCGCGGTATTGCCGGTTCATGAGCACATATATGAGGACGTTGACACAGTACTGCACCCAGTACAGGATGTGCACGATGAGGAAGCGGTTCGGGTCCTTAACCGTAGGGTCCTTTGCGTGCACCACCATCACAGGTACGCTGCACACCATAATCAGCACGAATATGATGAAGATTGTGCGTGCAACACGCATATCTCTTCGGCTGGTGGACAGTTTCTGACTCAGGTTCGAAGAGCGGCGGGCGCTGAAAATGAAAATAGTTTGAGCAACTCGGATTTATTTATTTTCTATTAAATGGCAATTGATAATTGGGATTATATTGATCAATTACTCTACTCAGATTAACAGAGAGCATATGTATGCTGTCAGCATATGAATGCTGATAATGCTTTTATCAGCATATGAATGCTGATAAAAGAGCATTTCGGTTATTAAAAGTTTAACCATGATTATCAATTTAGCAAATTTGGGTTACGATCGAGCCGGCAAGTGATAAACAGGGCAACTTGAAGTTTAATAGGTTCCCGAAGCTCGCCAGAGTGCGGAACAAAAGCTTATTCGAACACTATAAATATATAAACTTTCATATACTAGAGGACACACATTAATGTACAGGGACCACTATTACATGCATTGTCATGCCTCATGCAGCACCTTCAATGTAAATGGCAGAGTAATTTGTACAACCATAGATACTACGGACACGTTCACCAACAATGCACTAATGTTATTTTCTACGAAAGTCCATAAATGAAACTAGAATTATTGTAAGAGTTACATGATTCGCTGATAAAATCTGTGAGTGATGATTAAGAGGGATGATGAGTGAATCCATGGAAAAATATACAACAATTCAAACAAGTGCAGCACGTCACACAGTAAATCGTAGTTGTTACGTACAATTTCAGCTCTGATCAGGTTTAGTGTTAATTCATCAGATAATGTTATTTAAGCTTGAAAAATTCAATCAAATATTTGTTTTCACGATATGATAGCCCTGAAAGAGATGAAATTATGAAGATAGACCACAAAAGAACCGAAAATTTAACGACCAGAAGTAATTTCTTAATAAATATGCAAAAAAAGACATCAACGTCTTATTCAAGGAAAACAAATCAGCTCGAAGAAAAAATGCAGAAAAAGTCGTGTTAATAAAACGTACGAAAAGGAAGGAAACATTTAGGTTAATGCGGACGAAAAAATACAGTTGCACATCAATTAATCTAATTCTTGTGTTGCCTGAAGATACAATTGAAAAAGAATGTTCTTTTACACCGTATACACTGAAAAATTAGTGGATCATATTATCAAAATAACGATACTTTCTGCACGTAGCACTGATACACCCTTATTCTGGGCTAAGAAGTGTCAATATACCGCAAAAAAGGGGACAAAAAGTGCATCGCTACTTGGACAAAGTCACCTCATTTCTCTGAGTGTAACGTAGTTTTATAAGGAGTATCGCGGAAAGTAGAACACAGGACGGTTCCATGCAAAAAAATAGATACTAAAACATAGGCGCATTCTAAGGAATAAAGTTTTTTATTTATACTCTGCACATTAAATACAGAAAAGTTACATCTATTGTATGAAAAGCTTTGAAATGTGAGCACTGCAATTGTAATGCAATGAAGAGGAAAACATTTAATATCCCACGTTAATGAAATAAAAAGTTTAAAATCTTCTCATCTACTTCATTAATAATGATTTTAAAGCAACGAGTTACATTGAAGCCAAAAGCTCTAAAGAATTATAATTAACGTCCAATGAACCTATTAGAACTATACATCGATAGGCTGACTTATAGAATATGAGAAACTTTTTGAAGTTCACAGACCGTTTGGAAACTAAATGCAAGCCTGAGATGCGTCCACTGTGGAAAAAAAATAACAAGAAAGTAACTATAGATAAGAGGGCAAATATCAATTCCAATACCAATATTTTATCATAAAGAGTGCATTAATTTACAATCAAATCACGCAACAAGCAAGTAAAAAACGAAATTACCTTATCTTATTTACCTTGATCATTCATTCAAACAAATATTCGGTAAAATAACTAAATAAATAGCAATTAATAAAAATATAAAATAATTAAGAGGTTTCCATGACATATTTTCCAAAATAAATAAAAGCGTTTGTTTGTAACGCGAGGTTTTAGATGGCTTTGTGGAATTCTTCCGATCGAAATCGGTCAATGAAAATTATTACTTATATGTAAGCTTTATTCACTAAAAGTAAATAAAACAACTTGCAATAATGAAATAAACCAAATAAATTTATCGAAAGTGCGTGAATGGTTAGGAAAGCGTATGAATTTAAAAATGTGCATGAGGCAGACCTCCAATAGTTGCACAGTCTGATTGATCATTGGATTTCCTGCACTTTGAATGGGCTATATAATGGGGTTCATTATATAAACAATAGCTCTTCAAAATAAAATTGTTTAAACTTTAATGAGGCATTACCGTAACTCACGAAGCTACTGCAATCTTGTTTCTGTAACCATCAAGTTGGGTTTTTTCGAAAAGCGGGGGCGTTAGTTGGCGAACGATTTAAAATTTAATAAAAACAGCGGTCTTCGAGGGCATCTTTTTGAAAACCAATTAGATAGTTAAATTTACAAAGAAATAAATTAATAATCTCCATTTATTAAAATCAATACCGTAATCTATGTGAAAATTTCAAACAATGAATCGCATGAAGAATGAAAAATGAAATGAATTTTTTTAAATTATATAAATAAGTTGTGAAAAATTTAATAAAATATAAAAACGAACAATAAAATGAACAATTTCACTCACAATGTAGCCCTAAAGCTTTTATCCGAAACCATTCGCTTGAGGCCCTTGAAGCTCGCGGATGACAGCCTACGGGGGCTCTTCAAGGGGCCGTCCTCCGCAGGGTCTTCCTTTTCCTCCTGCTGGGGTTCAGGATCCTGCTCGACCCCAGTGGCTGCTCAATAACATAAAAAACATATTATTATAATAATATAATATAGTAGATTCAGCTTGAAATGAGCCAGGCTGGCCTGTCAACGATAAGTTATAATATAATAAAGTGGCAACAGCTTAGATTAGGAAAGGTTGGCCTTTCGCCACGCCTGTACAATACACAATAAAAATTTCTGGTGAGTAAGGCCTTCGCAAAATAAATTTCTGGAGAGCAAGGGCTACGAATACATTATTTGTCGACAATGCCTGCTTAGAATAAATTCATGCTCAACAATGGCCATAAAACTAAATTTTTTGTTGGCAAGGCCAGCTAAGAATAATTTTCTAGTCATCGAGGGCGTTGCAAAATACATTTTTGGCAAGCAAGGCCTGCACAACATAAATTACGGGAGATGAATGCTGACCAATTTTGGTGAGTAATATGACTGGTAAACACAAATTTTTATTGAACAATATAAATTTGCCGTGAATAGGAGCAGTACGGATAAAATTATTTCTATTTTTTTATAACACGAGGAATATGAAATGAAATTTAATCGTTTGAAAGAATATGAACAGAAAAAAATACAAATCAGTCTTCATGATATTGCAAAATTTTCTTATTTCTTTCTAATGACAGTTGTAGAAGTGAATTTTTCATAACCATTAATTCGGACGGTAGTAAATCTTCTTCCCTTTTTCGTTCTAAGTTGAACGAAATTAGCAACACTAATTTGTCATAATTAAATTAGAAAATATATGCAAAACATCATCACAGTAAAAACGGGACAAAATATGTCACATTTAATTAATGATTAGGAAATAATCCCAAATTATTAATATAAAAATTGGCTTACCTTTATCCGGCGGTGGCGCCCGCTTCTTCGCGGTAGCTCGCGACACGCGACGAGAGCTCAGCTTCACCTGCAATGCCAACACTGAGATGTATAATTTTATGGTGAAAGAAGTCGTCTGCGCAAACTTTGCTACAAATATTTCATCCAAAAACTCAAAATTTCAATTGTGTAACCAGTTCTTTAATATGGGCGCAAATGGCACTAAACTGTTTGGTTAACGTCAGCCACGTGAACAACCAATAAGGGAGCCTAGATTTGCACTAAAAATGGTCAACCATGTAATTGGTCATTCATTACGATAATTAAATAATAAGTTATCGTAACTAATTAAATCAAATAAAATAGTAAAAGATTACATACTTTCCAAAAATGAGCTAACTAAGGCAAAATATAACATGCAATTGTTTCGTAAACGGATTTACCAAGCAATATTTAATGTAAGGCAGGTCAGTGCGTAAAAGAAGTTCGAAGCCTCAAATACATTGCAGCCGTACGGAAAAATGAGAATTTCTAATAAAAATTTAATGCTAATTATTTCGAAATAATTAAATATTGCCAACTATTTCCGCAATATTATAACTATTATTTCTTCATCTTTTTCCTTTTGGCAGAATAGAAACATGCATGGACGAAAAAGAACATATAGTCTAGAAAATGTCTATATGTCACCGAGGCAATATTCTACAGCGAGAAATCACCGAGGCAATATTCTACAGCGAGAAATCACCGAGGCAATATTCTACAGCGAGAAATCACCGAGGCAATATTCTACAGCGAGCGACAAGCAATAAAATAATATTATTATGATAACTAATTATCACATATAAATGAAAGCCAGCAAAATAAAATCTACAAGGACGTTACAGGCACAAAATATAACAATAAATATAACAATGAATAGAAGCAGGGTTGGGGTAAAACAAAACGACCGAACAAAAACATTCGGACACGCATGACATGTCAATAAGTACTAAATATGGGCGCTTCAAATAAGGCACACTGCAGGGAAAAGGTATTGGAAAATACGCGCTAATTTATGGAAAACATGACGGTTTAATAATAAATATGGATCGAGTCAAGGCATACTATACAGAGAATGGCTTGTTCATTCATATAAAAAAGTTGAGGCACACAGGACGGGGTAAACGTAAATGTGGTCCGGTCGAAGCACACTCAATTTCAGCGCATTATTCGATTTCATCCTGATCGGTTCAATCAAGTTTAATCGAAACACTTGTACAAAAATACATGCAATTTTAACTGGACTAGCATGCCAATTTAAATAAATGGCAACAGAATTGCACAATTGTCTAGCGCACTATATAAACAGCGTCATAATTTGCACCGAAGAATGTACAAAAATAATGCGACAAAATGTATATACAACTGAAATTCAGAAGTCTACACAAATTATAGAAAATTTAGCAAGCTGCTGAAAAATAAAATACAATAAAAGGGTACACATGGCTAAAAACATAGATTATTTATATTACGGACGGATGGGAAGCAACGTAAACATAAACAACGAACAGCTGATTGAAGTCTACTTGAAGACGAAACTGGCATAATATGGGAGATAAAATATAAATTGCGGAACACACAGGACGTAAGCACATGAAATAGGATAAATAATTGTATAATTGTTAAAAAACTTCAAATTGTTACGCTAGATCATGCCCCATGCAACGAATATTGCAACATCAGAATACCGCCGCCGGTTGAGCCTTGCTGGCGCCGAAGCTGGAGTTCCGTTTCTGCAACCTGCGGATGCGCTTGCGACACCTCCGCATCAGCTTAAAGTGTCATCATGAAATTATTCGAAACATATCATTTATTTACTAAGTCTAGATTTATGAGATGATAGAGTAACCGTTTTCCTACGATAAATGAGCTGTCGTCAACGCCTATCGTATTCTACGCCAATACCCTTGTCCCGATTAAGAAAAAAGGTTTATAAGATTCAGAGTATTCTACTTTAATGTTAAAGATGGATATCTATGACAATCTTTTTGTTTTGGAGTAAAATTGTTCAATATTTCAGTGTGAAGGACACAACATTCGGTTGTCAGATGCAGTCATTACAATTTTTGCAGCGTCAAATCAATGAATGTTTCGTTGATCACCCACTTTGACAAAATAATTTCTATTTCATTAAAAGGCAAACGTGATGGTTGTTTGAATTTAGGTTGAAAATCGCATCAGCTTTTCATTTACATCGGTGTTTAGGGACAAGTTAACCCTCTACCGCCGTATGTCACTCTCCGGAAACATAAATATCAACTTAAATTATACGTAAACTATTGAGTGCAGCAACCTGAGGACGTTTATACGCAACAGATAACATTTTAAAGTTGTCGTACGTGGAGGCAACCATCAGTGCAAGTCATTTTGCGCTCACTAGAACATATCGTTTTTGGGAAGTAGACTTGGGACAATATTGCTCCGGTTACTCTGATATGACTTAGTCATATCAGGCGGGAGAGGATTAAGAAGTCTCCTTATGTTATTATCATCAAATTCCATAATTTAAGACCCTGTGAAATTCATGAGTTGTTCTTGTATCCTCCGATAATCACACCTTAGTCCAACATTTAGTGACTATGTTACATGTTTATGTAACGTAAGGGCTACAAAAAATACAAATGAATACACAGTTATTTTATTGTGAACATAAAAAAAGAAAGAAAACTTTCTTCCGTCATTACAACAATCACTGTTTCATTTCACCATTAGCCAGACGTGCCCTAATTTAGCACACCGAAGATCTTAAATCACAATCAATCGCATCCAAAAGGCGATAAAAGTATTAAAATCACTTGTTTGCTTGAATCGCAAGTTAACCAGGAATTTAAAAGCAAAGAAAATACCACAAAAATTCACCATATCTTTAATTATTATTAAAGATATGGTGAATTTAATTTAATATATATGGTGAATAATAATATCGACGCAACGTTCAGTGGTGGACGGCCATTCGACCCTAGGCTATTCTACCTCGTGTCTGGGGGGTGTGGAGCTCAAAATATTCAAAGCAGAAAGGGACGCCTGTCGGAGACCACCACTGCCGTGCTTCGAATGGACTATCATGATTCCTTCCCTGAAGAACGTAGCCGACAACAAATCTTGACTGTAACGTTATCAGCCGCACGCCACCGGACAGATCACATCCATTGAATTAGATCAATCAGCTTACAGGAAAATAAGCCTGGCGTCGTATGGCCCAGCGTCGTCAGCCAACACGCGAAAAACTTTTACACCACCCGGACGGAACGCGCCGGAGCCGTCCGTATCTGTCCCGTGTGTCGAATCAGCCCACGGTCGAACGGCCACGCGTCATACGACGATAAATTTTGGAACAGAACTATGCTATCTGGAACCTAACCCCAATGCTGTGAGCTAAAAGTGACGGTCTGGTGGTGCACGGCAGGATGCATGCAGTTCCACTGGCGCCCTGGGCTGGTTGGTCACAGTCCGTTGTCCGCAAGTTACAGTTCGAGCTAAAGTCAGGGTATGAAGTGATGATTCGATGCAGCGTTCAGTGGTGGACAACCATTATTCTCTGGGCTGTTCGCTTCAGAATAAGGTGGCGTGAAGCTCCTAATATTTAAAGCAAGATGATGTAATGGGCTGGTTACTAACGGCAAGGTTAATCCGCGGCTGATTGGTTGTCATCCGGAAATATGCTAGGCGTTCCTGTTAGGGCTGATTGGTGCACAAATTTGGTGGTGCACGGCTGCGTACCCTCTTGCTTTAGCAGGAGATTCTTGGATTAAAGTTATTATTTCGGAGCCTATATGTAAATACACAAGTTAACAACTTTAATAATAGTGAAAAAATGTCGAAAACAACAAAATAAAAAAAAATCTCCGAAACAACGTACATAGCAAGGAAAGGCAGAATCCAAATAAATTGAGAAAATAATTTTAATTACGGCAATCGGGAAGCCTGCCGAAGACCACCACTGCCCTGGATGTAATGGACTCTCATGACTCCTGCCCTCCGGAACGTAGCCTTCAACACTTCTGGAAAATCATTTATTTGTGTTTCTAGGACTGAACTTTTCTGAACAGAATTTTGTGGTTTGAACTGACGATGGAGCTGGACTCCGAAACGTTTTCTCTTATAAAGATATGGTGAATTTTTGTGGTATTTTCTTTGCTTTTAAATTCCTTGTTAAAGGCGATAAAATAACAAAATCTGCAATGAAAAAAAAATACAAATATAAATGACAAATGGATGAAGATAACGAATACGAATCTGCAAAGGACTCACCATGATGAATTTGAATACTTAATAGGTTGACTATGAATGAATCACAATCCGCAAATGGCTCACCATGATGAATATGAATACTTAAAAGGCTGACTATGTATGAACGAATCCGAATACGCAAAAGGCTCACCATGACAAATATGAAGACGTAGAGTATGACGATGATGAAGATAGGAGCGATGGCTTCAATTCGTATAATCCATTTCCGAGCCACCAAAGATGCCCTGTCGTTGCCCATGTCGCACTCCATCGTCAGGTTGTTGTAGCTGTAATGCCCGAATTTCTGCGAAAAAAATGAAAATAATGACAACCCACTATTTGTTTAGGTGAATTTCTAATCATATTTCCGATTATTCAACATATTCGTAATTGGTGTTAATAAATTCTTTGGCCTTTGCCCTAAATAAATTAATAATAAATTAATTAAATTAAATAATAAATTCTTTGGCCTTTGGCCTAAATGAACACAATAATTAATGATTTTTACAATCCAATATACATATGTACGTACTTTGGAGGAGACTTTTCAAATCGTAATTAAGCTAATAAATTTATAATGAAAGCTCTGAAGAATATTTTCCATTTTGAGTGAAACATGTAGAACATTGGATGTTTTTTTCGGAAGGAATTGTTTGACCTTTCATAAAACTGTCTTGAATAATAAAAATTGGATACGTAATATATGTGCGTTTAATTGGCTCCATTTGACTTTTGTGAGAGTTCTTTATTTTTCAAACTGTTTTTTCAGAAGTCTTTTTGCCAACGTAATTAAGATTCTCAAAAAATATCACCTTTGCAACTAGAAAACGAAAAATGTTATTCGGAAAAGCTCACATTACATGATCTTAACTACAAAAATGTATTTTCTCAATTTCATATTCAATGATACGAATTCAAAGGAAGTAAATTTAAGTTGATTGTAGCAAAATTACTTTATCAAAATGACATAAGCGAAAGCTTTTCGGGATTACGAAACGCGGTGACGCAATAAAATTTAACGCTAGACTTCGGTTATGTCGCGCTGGCGTCAGCATATCTCCCGCGTGATGGAGCTCATGACTTTATATGACGTTTATGACTAGATATGACCGTCATGACTTTGAAACCATAGCACAGATATGACCTCTTACCTGCTCATTGACGGAAATTCGTCCGGTTATTGCACACTTATTACCAACTGAGATTTAATTGAATTCGACTGCGAGGCATACGAGATGTCATAGAGGGGGCAAATCAATTGAATATTGATTTGCCCCGGAATATTTTGATATTTTATTTGCCCCGATATTTGGAATATTTTATTTCACTCTTCCTAATCAAAAGGACCTAAATATTCCAGGAAATATTACAAGGATCTTTTTGGTCAGTTTACTCACTGCAAAGACAAGCGAAAGAGAGGAAATTATGTTTTATATACTCATCCATAACACTTAATTATAATTTTTTATAAAATAATGCATATCCCATCACAAAGCTTCCCGTAACTCACCTGAATGGCAGGCCATCCGAAGTAAGGTCATCACCCCAACCACAGTGGAAATCTATCCTAATATTCACATAATAGCGATAGAAAAATAATAAATAGCTCGTCCGACATACTGCGTAATACTCAAATAATATTCACAGAAAAATTATTACTCTTACTCACCCTATTACTCACCTAAAAAATATTACTATTACTAATGTAAATTACTCACCCCCATTGCGGTGGGTATCTTGAGGGCAAATGAGTACACCCAGATAATTGCGATGTAGACACCCACCACGACGGGGGTGTTGATTTTCCTGTACAGGTTCATGCAGGACACCGCCACAGCTCTGCACAGCGCAACACAGAACCAGAATGATGAATAATAATTAACTCAGAAAAAATCAGAGTGGGATTTTTTCATGATGGCGATGACATTTTTGACGTTTTGTGGGTCTTCCTGAACCTGTTTATCCCAGAAAAAGTGCTAGAGTCAAGTGCTGAAAGTGTATCAATTTAAAGACAAAATGACCCATTAAAATTTTGCTTGTAACTACTGGAAAATACGAACAGTAACTATCACAAATATATATTTTAATACAAACATATCTTAATCACACAATCTGTATGAGTGTAATCCTGAATATTATGATTATGCCATACAATTTCTAAGCTGGAATAAAACTGTTATTCATCTAACTTTGTTGATGATCTGAAACCTGTGGTTCATTTGCTTCCTTAATTCATCTAAATATTTAGATGGATTCGGAGCACAATTAATTGTATCAAATAATTTATCTCGAAATTGTTTGCATAGGATTAATTACAGTAATTAATAAATTAATAATCACTTAACTACTGTTCAAATATCAAGAGTTCGTTTAGTATTCCCACACTGTGAAGGTAATATCAATTTCAAATATTATATTTTTAGGTTATAAACGTCCTGGCAACTGTTAGTAATTCATAATCGTAGAACCATAAATGCAAGATAATAGTAATTCATAGATAAAAATGCAGAATTTTCACTGACATTTCTTCACTATAAAATCATTTCTGAGGAAAATATGCACCAACTTGCCTCATGAGCGCGATGGCGAGGATGGTCTGGAGTTCGATCTGCGTGAGGGAATACCGCATCACCGCGAAGTAGTTACATGCGCTGTCCGATAACAGGCTTGTGTCTGTGAGCATATAAACAAAATATATTCTAAAACAGCAATGAAAGTTATATAAATTAAAAATATATTCATATAATTTTACTATAGATGTTTTTATTACTTAACCTTCACAGCTAAGTAAAGTAGGCGCTTGTCTACATGCAAATAAAAAGTTCAAATAGATGGTAAAATAGCAATGAAAGAAGAAGACGTTTTAGTGATATTATACTAACGACATTACACATGAGTCACCAATCAGCAGAAAATACAATAAACTCGCCTCACAGAAATGTACCAACAGAGTAAATTAGAATATAAATGTACTCACTGAAGAGCATGAGGCAGCTGTACTGTACTCACTGAAGAGCATGAGGCAGCTGTACTGTACTCACTGAAGAGCATGAGCTGTACTGTACTCACTAAAGAGCATGAGGTAGCTGTACTGTACTCACTAAAGAGCATGAGGCAGCTGTACCTGTCTCTTATACACATCTAGATGTGTATAAGAGACAGCAGCTGTACTGTACTCACTGAAGAGCATGAGCTGTACTGTACTCACTGAAGAGCATGAGGTAGCTGTACTGTACTCACTGAAGAGCATGAGGTAGCTGTACTGTACCTGTCTCTTATACACATCTAGATGTGTATAAGAGACAGGCTGTACTGTGCTCACTAAAGAGCATGAGGCAGCTGTACTGTACCTGTCTCTTATACACATCTAGATGTGTATAAGAGACAGGTACTGTGCTCACTAAAGAGCATGAGGCAGCTGTACTGTACTCACTGAAGAGCATGAGCTGTAGCTGTACTGCTGTCTCTTATACACATCTAGATGTGTATAAGAGACAGGTACTGTACTCACTAAAGAGCATGAGGCAGCTGTACTGTACTCACTGAAGAGCATGAGGCAGCTGTACTGTACTCACTGAAGAGCATGAGGCAGCTGTACTGTACTTACTAAAGAGCATGAGGCAGCTGTACTGTACTCACTGAAGAGCATGAGCTGTACTGTACTCACTGAAGAGCATGAGGCAGCTGTACTGTACTCACTGAAGAGCATGAGGCAGCTGTACTGTACTCACTGAAGAGCATGAGGTAGCTGTACTGAGCACCAGACAGCGGCAGCACAGACACGCAGAAGAGCAGTTCCACGACGGCGAGGTTGACGACGAAGGCGGTGGCTGTGGTGCGCAGACTGCGGCTCATCGGGAGCGCTACTATCGTCAGCAGGTTGCCTGCGATCAGTAAACATCGTCAGCAGGTTGTCAGCAACCAGTAAATATCGTCAGTAGGTTGTAATCGACCAGTAAATATCGTCAGCAGGAAGCTTGCAACCCCAAAATATCGCCTGTAACTTGCGTGTGGTCACCACAAGCCACGTCTAAGTTTTGTTAGGAAATGCTTTTTGCCCAATTTGTCAGCAACTTCTTTATTCGTCAAGACTTAGTGAAATTATCAATTAATCTAATTGGCCATTGTCAAGCCCACACATTGTTTAAATAAAACGTTCACGATACTTTTCAATATTAAAGCGTGACTCAAAAAATTATTTTCTGTGTGAAAAGTGGTCGCTCTTTCATAATTGTAGCCTCTTCTTACAATTTTCTTAGTTTAGTTTCTTACAATTCAAATGGTCGATAGAAGTTTACAATAAGACAATAAAAATTTAAGTAATTAATCCCAAGAAATGGTATCAATATATAATAAAGTTTCAGTGTTGCCGAACACAAACACATTAAAGTAAGAAAGATGCTCGAGTTTCCCGTGAAATGGGCCGTTCGTTTGTTCAGTATTTCTAGACGTCCATCAAGGATGTTTGCGAACAAGTTTTACGCCAAAACAAATCACGAATCTGCTTGTTTTCCTCAAAACAAAGACCAGCAAATGGGAGATAGCTTATAGTGACAGTAAAGCCGTATTCTCGTGAACAAAGTCTTCTCACAAGCCCATATCTTCTTTGGCCAGGTCGAAGCTTTTCTTGCAGGAAAAGAAACGGAATATTGTAGGACTTAAAAAAAACTGCTCACAGGGGCATAAATATTCGGGTCTCACCAGGTCCGATTATGCACCTAATTAATTTGTCATGAATAATATAATAATGCGGAGGAAAATTAGTAATAAGAATTCAGAAAATACTGGTCTTCATAATGTTAATTATGGAGTTTTGCTGCTAATTATGATATTGGATGTACTATCATGATCATAAAAAATTGCTATAAGTAAATTTGCGTTCTAATTTGGTCGTAAAGAACGCGACAGAGTCAAAGACGGGTGCAGAAAAGAACTAACAGCAGCCAAACACCATACATGATTTTGGGTTCAAGTTTCAATAATGTATCACTGGTGTTGAAATTGCGCCAAATTTGCAGGGAAAGGCGAATAAAAATGAAATCAAAATGTATCAAAGGATTCACCAATCTGAATATTGAAAAATTATAAAGATGACAAATCTAAAATAAATACATATTTTGTCAAGGCTCTTCAGAATAGTGTGTCGCCTTTAGCGTTATTAATATGACAAGCAAAGCTATGAAGACATCATGTACTAACCGACGGCACCAAGAATTGCGATGATGAAGGCACATGCGGCAGTGAAGCCGAGCATGTGGTAGGGAAACTGCGTGCCCATCACTGCCTCTATCATTCCGTCATCGTCCACATCGGTAGCGTTGATAAGGGACACAGTAGCGTTGAAACTTTTATTAAATTCCGTTGTTTCGCCGCCATCACCGGATGCCCCCGCCTCTTGTGAGGCGGAAGGGTAGGACTCGAACACCGGTCCGCTCTCGTACAAGTAACTCATAGCTTTTGTAATGTCTGCCATTGATGAACTTTGAATAGTTTAAACTTGACTATTTTACCAAGTGATACGAGTTATGCCAATGCTTGTGTTAAAATGACATGTTAGCCTAAATATATTCAGTTTATGCACACATTTGAATGATTACACACTATATATACATAGATACCAATGCCGGTCCTGCATGGATCTAATCAAGTCTGTGCGCAGCAACATTAAAATTCAAACTATTCAAGTATTGACGGGTTACCAAATCCAATTAGTGCATTTACTGTCATGTTTTTGTTACAGTAATAAAAAGAAAAATCCTAGATGAGGCCTAATTTTTCCAACTCAGCCATCAGGACATTTGAAACAGTTTTTAAATCTGAAAGACAGAACTACACAGTTAGATTTTGTGTAAGTATTTTCAAAACGTAACTCCAACATCCGCACATCTTCAACAATGTGGAATTGTTATAGAATAAAGATAATGAATAACTATTTTAGAATAAAAAATTCGCGAATTCGAAAAAAAATTCAATCATCCATCTGATTTAAGTGCAACACAGCAAACCAAGGTTTGAAAACATGAAAGATTACTGCAATATATAACGATATCAAATTGATCATTCCATAAACGATTAGTAAATCAATAAAATTAACAAGTTCCATCATATGTTCATCCGCTCTAAAATTTATACAATATTATATCATAAATTTTGCCAGAAAATAATGTAATTTACTGAGCAGGATAATTCGTGCGATGAATGGTTGAGGAATGAAAATGTATAAATAGAGAATTGCTGACACTGAAAAAAAATAATTAAATGATAATATTGAAAGATCAATTTACAAAGACTTCTTAAGTGCTTCCATGCATCAAGTTCCAGTAAGTTTTCTAGCCAACACTGCGATACTAGACAATGAAATTTAAAAACTAATTTTCCACTATTAAACCAGCTTTATAAATGAGGTAAAAAAACATCGTGTGTCTGTTAGAAAATTAATTTATGAAAAATCGAATTTATTTTAGTCAATTTCATTATATGGTAAAATATATGTATAATTTAATAGAAGAAATAATTGCATTAACTTTCATTAGTTGAATTAAATGGGCACTGAATTCTTACGGTTCGCGCATATTCCAGCATTAACAATTTACACGGTAATGGTTCAGCCGTCGTTTTTTTTGTATGTATTTTTACATGAAAGTATGTCAATTGATTAGAACTAGAATAATGTTCAACATATAATAATATATAATATAATAATGTTCACTATAATAATGTTCAGCCGTCATTTCTTTTAGTGCGATTGAACAAATTATCTGTCTATTCATTAAAACTGGAATATTGTTCAATATATATCAACTACAATCACTATTAATTCTCTCATGCACATTGAGCTCTTTTCATTTCAAAACCACACAATTCATGAGAATATGAATACTGAAATAAAAGTCAAAAGATTCTTACAACGCAAATGATTTCATTAGTAAAACGTACTATACCACTAACTTCACGGGAAAAAAATTAGCGCCAGAGGCCAGACAGATTTTTTTTTCTAACTTGCAAGCGACCGGAGCGTTTCATTAAACATTTCATGTATTGGCACTCCACACCAAACGATACTAGAGGGAGAAATTCAGGCATTCACATCACAGCACATTGCTCGAGGCCCAATGCAATTATGCTAATTTTTCACAGCAACACCAATTAATTTTTAAGGTACATCCGGGGGCAATTTCAATGTTAATGGTTTGTACAATGAATAAGAAGTGAGGCGGCAATACTCAGTAATTAACTGACATGTGCAATAAGGTAATTAGAACAACTCAGTCAGTTTAGGAGACGTTGCGCATTTGTTAAAGTTACACCTAAAAAGCTCGGAACTAAGATCATTTTTTATTTCCCTTTTTCTCTATCCAGCTTTTCAGTTTTTCAGGATCATTTTTATATTGACAAGCGACTAAATCAAGGGTCCAAAAAGAGACCAGATATAGACCCCTGGGGTCGAGGACATAACAAAAAGGGTCGATAAATTCAAAGGGGTCAGCAATGGGTCGATTAAGGGAAACACTTAACGTTCAGCATATACAAGTGAATTTTTTCCATTATTACCTTATACCAGTGAAGACTACTTATTTCTTTTAATGTATGTCTCAAAAGTGCATAACATAGTGGTGTGCATAACATGAGATTCGTTTGATTCAAGATTTTTCTTTTTATTTGGCAGATGAGAATGAATGTCAAATAATAGTTCCAATGAAGTCAATAATGGCTTCATATTTCATTCCTATTTTCGCATATGTATATATGAAGAGGGTTCATATAAATACAAATATCCTATAAAAAGGTGGACTGGTAAAAGTTTCCGTCCTAAATAGACCACCAAAAAATAAGATAATTTAATATATAATTGCTTTCATCTTTACTATTAATAATAATTATCGTAATGGGCAACCTTCATAGTGAGTGCAATTACAACATGAGAGCATTTATGGCCAATTTTTGAGATTGCATCATAAGAATAATTCTCAGTAACAAGTTTGTAGTTGAGTAGCGAATTGTTAACGAACATATAAAACAAAGATACAAATAAATTAAAACTTTTGAACGAACGTCAGTCACTGAAAGTGAAAACTGAAGTCTACGTCAGATAAAATAACAAATAAATTGATTTGTGAGAGAAGACAACAATGAGTTATTTTGGTCGGTCGGCGTGCGGAAGGTATTGGAGGGGCCGCCGAAAATTCGACCATAATTTTAAGCGCGGCATGGCGGGGCGAAAAACAGCAATGACAGCTCAGGCATATAAGAAACATGGCCGGACTTGCAAAGATAACAGGCATTTAGCGCTGCCTTCATGAACAAACAAATGCCTTCACCTCGTATTTTGCTGCCGATCGTATTTTTATAAATACAATGTTCCATTTATTACTTATTACTCGAATATATCGTATTTTTATAAGTACAATGTTCCATCTATTAGTTATTACTCGAATATATCGTATTTTTATAAATACAATGTTCCATCTATTACTTATTGATCGAATATCTATTACTTATTGCTCGAATATATATGTCTTTACACTCCTTATTTCTGAGAACACGCAACATTTAATACCAACTTACTAGAATACTTTACGCAGACAAGCTATTAACTTGAAAGACAATCCACTCAATCTGTGCAAGTTTCTTGAGTAAAATATTAATGTTCAATATAAGGCTGAATAAACTCGTATACCACTGAATTCGAAGTGAATATGCTATTCTACCGCGCATTTACTTCATTGTTATCAGTTGACAGTTAAGACAGATTTTAATTAATAAATAATGAATTCTGAATAAACGAACAATTAGCAGAACACCCTTGACTGCATGCAAATTTCATTATTTGCATACAAAAACGACGCATGAAACACTATGTAATAAATACAAAATTTAATAAATACTTATTCACTCTCCACGTGATTTAAAATGAAGATAAATTACTGCCATGCAGCGTGCGTGCAGAGCTTGCAGTTGGTAAACTGTACGTGACAGAACGAGGGCAAGCGCGAACTATCCTGACATGCAGTGAAGTGCCAAAAACCTCAGTGCCACCACGAAATAACTTAATCACTGCAACTGCGAAAAGCTTAATGAGTGCCACCGCGAAATAAATTAATCATTGCCACTGCGAAATGCTAAATCACTGCCACTGCGAAATAATCAGTTTCACTTAATCAGAGAATTAAATAAAATCATAATTAAAATAAATTATAGACCTGCCCCGGCAGCCTTTCAGAGTGGGCTTATATACATAAGCCCACCCTAGCCTCTTCACCACTTGAATTACAAAACTGTCATTGTATTGGGGTAAAAACTTTCATACTTACACTAGAACTGATCGTTATTCCGCAAAAACAAAATCTATTGTTGGTGATGATGACGATGAGTCATTATTGATGATGAGAATAATAGACGAAATCGAACCTGTGTCACATGTTCACTAGAACTGATCATCGTTACACAAAAACAGCGATTCCTATACTTCAGAGAATAACGGTCACGCTTCATTGCTCGTATCGGAATACCGAGAAAGCGTTACAAAAATAACCAGTAAGTAACACGTCAGGAATTAATTAGACGCTTCTGAGAACGTGAGAATTGGTGTTACAGTTACATTAATGTTACAGTTACATTGCTGTTATAGTTACATTACTGTTAAAATACATTTGGGTTACAGTTACATTAGTGTTACAGTTACATTACTGTTACAGTAACATTACTGTTACAATTACATTGCTGTTATAGTTACATTACTGTTAAAGTACATTTGGGTTACAGTTACATTAGTGTTACAGTGACATTAGTGTTACAGTTACACTAGTGTTACAGTTACATTAGTGTTACAATTGCATTACTGCTACAGTTACATTAGAGTTACAGTTGCATTAGTGTTGCAGGCACTCCTAGGATGGCACTCTTCAGGTGCCACACTACAGGTGCCACTCGTGACGTCTGTGATGACAAGTCACCGTTTTTTTCGTACCCGTGAATCAGTCGCGCGGGCAGTGAACCTTTGTACACGCATTTAAGAACAATTAGTAGCGGGAAATTCCAACGAAATACTATATTGAATATTTAGAAGATGAATGTTCTGAGTAATATAGAAATTAATAAAATCTCATGGACCAATTTTCATGCTAAAAAAATGAAACCGACGAGTTTTTAAACAGAAGATAGAAATTCCGACGTCAGACAACTTTGTACAAAAATTTTATGCCATTTTTTTCGTTCAAGTATAAAACTATTGAGTTTATTCATTTGAAACTCTTTAGGTAAAACCTCAAGATAAAAAAATAAACTAGAGCCCATACTTGACGGGAATATTTATCGAAATAATTTATACACTGTCTGCATGTTTTTGTAATAAAGCAAAAGCATTTGCGGTGTTTGAATGTAAATAAAGATACGCGCCAGAATGAATCTAATCAGAATATTATCAAACATCTATTTTCCTGGTATTGCAAAAGTCGATCTGCTGAAGTTCTGAATGTCAATAGATAATACCAATAGTCTTATGATGTGTACGATATATACTATAGTCAACGTATAGTTGAAGTGCGACGTCTATTTAAAGTTTCAATATTAAGTTCATAACAAGAAAATTCTCACATATCGCCAAGATCGTTCAATTTAAAAAGGAGTGCAATTAACCCACTATTAAAACCTGCAGCAAAAATATTGGCATAAATTTAATTATGCCTAAAATATCAGATGAGGCTACAGGAATATTTTTAGCTAACCGGTCATTTTTCCGGACATATATATACGATGCATTAATAGGAAGTCTATGTCGTGTGATAACGCAAAAAGTTTACGAGAGTCTTAATTTTGGAAG